TGATCACTTTTACCGTTTTTGAGATATGGCATCCGGAAAGTAGGTCACAATAAAAAAAGTTCTTGGAATTCAATGTATGAGTTATGAAATATGTGAAGAATTGTCCAAGGAATCCGAATCTGCAAACCAGATTTTGATCCGACTTCCGGTTCGGAAGTTATGGCATTTTGAAATCTCAAAAATCGCTATTTTGGTATCCCATGTTAAGTCAATGGGGCTTGAGAAAATTATCAATTGTAACATCACAACACTAGATACAGCTTGGATGCAGCCAACTTAATAAAAATCTACAATAGAAGCCTTCCTCAAAATCTACTTTCCTTCAAAATTTGGACACTAAAAGGCCTAGGTCAAAATCTAGGTCAAATTCATAGTTTTTTCTTTGACTACAACAAATCATATCTGAACCAACAACAAAGGACTCATCTTTTATTGATCTCATATTTACCAATACTTTTGTTTGAAAATCAGGATATACATTCCTCTGAAGGTTCTACACTGCGTGAGCACAGGACCGTGGGTCCTTTTTATCATCTGTAATGGCATTTTGCAGTTGATGGGTTTATATATAGTATTTTCAATTTTTCATGAGGGTGTCTTTAGACTACTTCTAATGGGCTGGCTAATTACTTTACTGAATGAGGAATGTTTATCCAAACAATGGATACAAAGAAAATCTGGCCAGTTGTCCATCAGTAAATAAATCATCATGATAAAAGTATAATTTATTAAAGCATCCATTTGTTACCGTTCTGAATCCAAATGATACATAGGTGCATCCATTTTATACATATATGTTGACGTTTACGAAATGTTTTTCAAATATCTTCCCTATAACAGGAATATGGAAGCTGAAACTTTCACACATTGTCATACTATGTATATTGAATATGTATGCAAGATTTCAAGTCACGATGTTAAGTAGAAACTCTGAGATCACTTACCTCGATTTGCTGTCATATTTTTGCAATGATCCCATTTCCTATAATGTACGCGTGCACCCACAATACATTACATATAAATGGCTGCATCCACATAGATCGACTAGCCACAGTGTTACACATAAAATCAAAACGCCAACCTAAACGTACACTCCCCTCTATAAGTTTGGCAACCTTAGCTCCCCAATTGAACTGCGTGTTAAAGCCTCTTTACGTTTGAATTTTTATTTACTTAATCTGCAATGAAAATACTTATAATATTGATGGAAGCGTAACTTGACTTTATTTCTAATACCTCCAAATTTTCTCAATTTTTTTCCTCAATGACAATAGGTCGAAAATTAATGAAAAAGTTGATGAATTTTTGAAAATCGACATTCCCATATTAACCAATGAGAAATGGTAAGTTTGCCGTAAGTCATATGACAGAATATCCGTCCATCCGAGTCCTTGCAAAAATACAAATTAAGTAGGCAATTGAATTTACTAAGTTTATTTAACAAATAAGTGATACGTTTCTTCAGGTTCAACAAAGTTATAGGTCTTTAAAGTCAAAATTGTTTTTCAAAAACCTTTCCCATTGAAATAACACAGGAGGCGAAAAATGATTTTCTAAAATGACTTTGAAGCTCTTTAACTTTAGTATTCATCAAATAAACTAAACACTTAGTGTACAAAAAAGTTAGACAATTCAATTTTCTATATCAAAATATTTTTTGCTGAATCTTTTACTCAATAGATATCATGATTTCTGATTTAACCCGAACCCACCATTTCTCAATGGTTTACGTTGGAATGACGATTTTCAAAAATTCATCAAATTTATCATCAAATTTCGACCTATTGTAATTGAGGAAAAAAATTGGGAAAATGTTGAGGTATTGGAAATAAAGTCAAGTTACGTTTCCATCAATATTCTGAGTTACTTCATCGAAGGTTAAGTAAAGTAAAAATGCAAACGTAAAGAGGCTTTAACACTAGGGTGGTCCAAAATATGGCGAAAACCCAACTTTGTTTCAGATCATCTTCCTCATTTCACTTACTGTTGTCCATGACACCTGCACACCAAATTTTAAGACCCAAATCACATGGGAAATTTACCCACGCTTCGACTGTTATTTCATGATTTTTTGCTATTTTCGATAAATTGTCATCTCCCTTTTCCTGGTGTAATATGTTTCTATTTTTTCATAATAAACATTTTTGTAGGACTCTTTATTACTTCATAATACTAGGAACCCATACATCAAATGTTGAGACCCAAATCCCATGGGAAATTTACCCACGTTCGACTGAAAAATTCGGTTATTTCATTTTTTTGCAATTTTCGATAAATTGCCATCTCCATTTTCCTGGTATAAAATGGTAGATGTCTTTTCATAATAAATATTTTTGGATGACTCTTTATTACTTCATAATACTTAGGAACCCATACATCAAATTTTGAGACCCAAATCCCATGGGAAATTTACCCACGCTTCGACTGAAAAATTGGGTTATTTCATATACAATACAATACAATACATCTCTATTTTCCTGGTATTATATGTTTCTATTTTTTATAATAAATATTTTGGGAGGACTCTTTATTACTTCATAATACGAGGAACCCATACCCCAAATATGCACCAAATTTTGAGACCCTGGCCCCATGAGAAATTAATTCATGCTTCAACCAAAAATTTGTGATTTTCTGCGAATTTTCTCCTATTTTCAATAGATCAACATTAATCTTATATTTAGTTTTTAAACATTTTAGGAGGACATTAATACATTCTTAATACTAGGAACCCATACATTTAATATGTACCAAATGTTTAGACCTGAACCCCATGGGAAATTCACATTTGCTTTGATCATATACTTTTGATTTTTGTCGTTTAGAGCACCATATCATTGTTGTGTGATGTGCAATTTGTAATAAATTGTATTACACGTTGTCTTAATTATCCTGTTTGGCCTTACATACGTTAATAACGTTACATCGTGAAAGATGGTTATATAGTACTTTAAGGTAATTCCTTATTTTCAGTTTTAATGGCTTCCTAATTGGAGCCCCGTGTTTTTTCAGGAACACATAACGCATTCCATTCAGATGCACAAACAGTGTATAAACATAGCACATAGTACATTATAGAAAATTACTAACCATCAACTAATAATCTAAATACATATTTGAACTCAGTGTAAAATTGAAAGAGCTGAAATTGAAAGTATGGAATGAGTTCAAGAAATAACATTGGACTCCACTTAAAATTTCTGAACATACAGAATTCCCTTAAGTGTTTCTCATTGCTCTTCCTATCTTCTTCATTGTGTTCTTTCAGGGCATGAACATTTTCAGAGAAATGACAAAGCTCAGTGGAAGCTCGAATCCCTTGAAGATTTGGTACAGGCTTACTGGTTACAACAGAGAACAAGCCATTGATACATTGATCAATCAAAAACTCATTTCTCCAAAGAAAATCAGATTTGATATTTGACCTTACCCTGCAAAGATGTGAGAAAGAATATGACATCTCACACAAATCCAAACAAAGTCCTGTGATGTATCCCTACTGAAACCAACAAACCAAATCTTCAAGGCATTTGAGTTGCTGTCGAGTCATCACTTCTTAATATTAACCACAGTATATAAATGTACAAGTAAAAGATCCTAAATTTTCCCCAAACTACTGAATTTGTCGCCTTTCAATAAGACTTAGAGTCTTGATATTTAGGTGTTTCTTTGGATTAAGAAGAATTACCATAATGTTTATTAACATATTATGCCCCTAAAACAGACATCATAAGCTATCATAAGCACCAGTTTTCAGTCAAAGCATGGGTAACGTTCTCATTGGATTTGGGTCTCAAAATTTGGTGGATATTTGGTGTATGGGTTTTTAGTATTATGAAGTAATAAAGAGTCCTCAAAAATGTTTATTATAAAAACATATCGTACCAGGAAAATGGAGACAGCAAAATCGGAAAAAATGTGAAAAACACAATTTTTCAGTCAAACCATGGGTAAATTTCCCATGGGATTTGGGTCTCAAAATTTGGTGTATGGGTTCCTAGTATTATGAAGTAATAAAGAGTCATCAAAAATATTTATTATGAAAAAATAGAAACATATTATACCAGGAAAATGGAGACAGTAATCTATTGAAAATCGGACAAAACTGTGAAAATCACAATTTTTCAGTCAAAGCATGGGTAAATTTCACATGGGATTTGGGTCTCAAAATTTGGTGTTTGGGCTCCTAGTATTATTAAGTAATAAAGAGTCCTACAAAAATGTTTATTATGAAAAAATAGAAACATTTTATACCAGGAAAAAGGAGATGGCAATTTATCGAAAATAGCAAAAAATCATGAAATAACCGAATTTTTCAGTCGAAGCGTGGGTAAATTTCCCATGGGATTTGGGGCTCAAAATTTGGTGTGCAGGTGTTTTAGGTCATGGACAACAGTAAGTCAAATGAGGAAGATGATCCGAAAGAAAGTTGGTTTTTCGCCATATTTTGGACCACCCTATTTAACACGTAGTTCAATGGGGAGCTAAGGTTGCCAAACTTATGGAGGGGAGTGTATGACCAATCGCCCATACAAATGTATCGCTTGAATATTTTACGTTCACGTTTAGGTTGTGAAAAACATTGCAAGCTTAAACTCCCTATTGTTTACACTAACAACCCTAGATGCATCAGAGGGTAGAAACAATAGGTTAGAAGGAAAATGAGAACCATTTCACAAGGTATCTGTGAGTGAGTATTTAAAGCATCGCCTGATGCGTTCAAGTTCTCTCCAGAAACGAGGCGGGCATTTTAGCATGTTTTGTAAAGTGGTCACAAAATCGTGTCTATTTGGGACAAACCAATGAAACTTAAATGAAAGACCATTGAACAAGATTTAATCGTGACAAATACGGCGTTAAAACCACGCTGGATGACTGAGTTATTAACATTTGTTAGGGTTACCTTTATTGGCTCACCCTGTACGTTTTCACTTTCTAACACTGAGTGCATCAAGATGGATAAATCTATTTTGTATACTTTTGTATACTTTTGATTTCAGATATTCAACGCAAACACTGATAGAGACACCATCGTGCAAAGTACTCTGAAAATAGGCGGTGTTTTTGCCAGATACATCCGCATACATCCAGTTACATGGGCCAATCACATCAGTATGAGGATGGGCATTCTTGGATATCCGTATGGTACAGTATAGCCTAATCCAATGTAACCTGAATCCTATGATACGACGTCAGATACTGTACATCGCGGCATTTTACTGCATTTTTAATGCGTACTTACTTTTAAAACCGCAATATCTCGACAGCAAAATCATATTTTTCTACAATTTTTCGTCATCAGTTGAACACGTATGTCCATGAAATATTTTGCCTATCAGAATTCCAAATAACTGATTTGGGACTTTTTAAATGAGAATCACGCAAGCCGTATTATGCGACTTTCTATGCTAAAACCGGGTGTCGACTGTAACATTTTGAAGAAAAGTGATTTTAATTTTAAACGAAAAATGAAGATAACTTTTTCATTTCCCAACGGATCTTTCTCAAATTCTCACAACATTTAAATTCACCATTTTGGAAAAGACAAACAGATTCTGTGTGATGACGTCATAATATAACAATGCTAACTTAACGCTTATATTTATGCAAAAAAGTGTCGACAGGCAGAATTTCGTACCAACAACAAGATATATATCATTTGATCAATTAAACATTAAATCGTTTGAAAGGTGAATTATTCTTTTTTGATTCCTGAAAGGCATATCATATTCTATATTTTTATCAAAAAACTATATCATTTCGATTAAAATTCAGTCTGTAAGAAGTATAAATTGAAAGAAATATGAAGTGAAGCCATGTGGGAAATTCACAAAATTACGTTTCATTTTTTGAGTTCAAATATTTTTAATTAAGGGACAAACATTCAAAACTTTCCAATGTTTCAGCATGTTCTTTTAAATATACCCCTTACTACATACAATTAATTTCATTTAATTTGAACGAGTATATATTGAGATAGACATCGTTTTATCACCGCAACCCCAAGTGAAGCCTTTACAAAATAAGACGTTACGCCGTTAGCGTTTTATATGTTCTCCTTTATTATTCATTGCTTTAAATAAATAAAACTAAATATTCGAGTTAAAATAAATTACAAATAATGCATTTAACAATCCTTAATATCTTCCCGTCTGTGTTTATCAGTTGAATATGACAAGGGGCATTGTGAAAGAGTCTAGAAAGACGGTGCGACAACGAGAGCGCAGGGCCGAAAAGCGCGACAAAGAAGAAAACGGGTAGGGTTTGAAATGTCTACTTTCTGGTTATTCTAATTCTGTATATCGTGACACAACCTTTTTGAATATAGAATTGTATTGAAGCGCACATTAATCTGAACAAAACTTGAAGTTTTTAAGAAAATTCCACGAATATTAAAACGTTTGCAATTACTTGGAGGAGCATTGCGCATATTTATCGCGTAAATCTTTGCATTTTGTCGGTAAAATGAACAATTACACTGTTACGCCGTGATGTACAGTATCTGACGTCGTATCTATACCCTTGTTGTCATTTCGTTCAGTTAAATTTTATACCATAAACCTCGGCTGTCATTTCGTCCAGTGTACTTTTATATATTTATATAATCAATAGATTTCCATTCAGATAACACGGTTACATCAGTGAAGACCTGATGGTGAGGAGTATGAACCGTCAATAATATAATAAATATCCTATTCTGTTTTCGGTAAATACCCCCGGACTCGGACTTCGGGAAACATAATTGCCTGTGAAAGATATACAGCTGGGACATAGCTAGTCACTTCAATAGAACGAAATATTTGTATATCATTTCATGCCGGGTTTAAAGTGGCAACAAATAATAGAGTGTGTGAAATGTTGCAAGCAGACTTCTAAAAGCATACAGATATTTCCCTCCTTTGTGTTACAGATTATTTTATTTGAAAAAAAGTAGAGGGAATACAAGGGGTGATCAATAAGTAACGGACGCAGGAGATCTTGTTTATTTTGTATTTTCAGGACTATATGTAACCAATAGTAACAAACGGAAAACAGTCTTTATTTTCTATCTTTATTGCATATTAAAATAAAAAAAACTGTAACATACACAAATAAAAAGAGTTACAATTCAGATGTATGACTTTCAAAAATGACAAGATTGTATGAATAAATGAAATACATGTCTTTAGAAAAATATGTTAACTGTACACTGTTATAGACTGGTAGTGACATCTTTCATGTCTTTTACACACCTAGCTAAATCGTAATACATATATGGTCATCTCACACTATATAGCACCAAACATGTCAAACAGATCCTAGCTTACAAAACCTACCCAGACACTTCTGTAGACCACGGGGCTGATAGAACATCTATAGAACAGCTGGTCCTTAACAACACTAGAATGAAATAAATGAGTTCAAAATAAGTCTTACAGACATTCTTAAATCATGTAAACCTCACAGAGTCAATGCAAATTGAAGGTGATCTTTCCAAAAAGAAATGACAAAAACTATAAAATCCTAAGAAATCTCACATGTTTCAAGAAATGTTAAAGTACACGCAATCTAATCTATTTTGCACAACGTTGAGTTTGATATATAATAAATGCAACCGTACTTGACTTAACTAAGGGTCTTTCTACCTAAACCTAGGTTTAATGATGTAAAAACGAGTCAATTTCTACAAGAAATTCAGAAAAGCAAATTTGAGAACATGCCGTTTTTCCAAGATGGCCGACTTCCACTTTCTTTTCGGACCAGAGATAACTGTTATTGTAGACAGTTATATAATTGAACATGAGTAGGTTCAGAATATATTCATGTTATATAAATTACCTTGATATTTTAGCATATGATACAATAGTCAGTCTCAAACACAACATTTACACAAGTGAGTCGACATCTGCAGCAGAGAAAATACCATGCACTGGTATCATCGACACACCAATAGAGGGCAATATGTTCTATATATTCAAATGTGGGTCAAGGTCAACGCAGCACAAGATTGTGGAAATTGAACTCATGCCGGGCTTCTTAGGAGAAACTGTTGATGTTTGCGATATTGCTATATATAGAAAGGAATTGGGTAAGATTTGAAGTGTATTTAATTTAGGGAGAATGTTTGCTAAATCTTAGCACTCTTCAAACTAGTTTCCGTTTCGGTAACAAAATGTCGGAATCTCGGGGGTACGTTTTTTCTTATTTCACGAATTGTACGCAGAATTTCCACGATGTTTTTATTACAAATGTTTGTCAGTATTATGTGACAAGAGTGAGATTTTATATCGATGATTGTATATTTTGAAATATTTGTTCGCAGACGTCTAGATTTTCTTAAACATATGATACTGACCACACACGTCGTGAAAATTCTGCTTACAACTCGTGAAATAAAGAAAAAAAATAGTACCTTGAAGGAGGTTCAGTCATTTTGTTACAGAACGGATCCGTTTCGGTAACTTGTTTAAAGAGTGCAGAACCAATGTAAATATCGTTTAAGACAATTTGTTTGATTGTTGCATTCTCAGTTGGAAATTAGTTTGTAATGAGAAAGTGTTATGATGGTGTGTGTAAAGCGATCTTTTGAAAATTCATGCTAGTCTTATCCTTACAAGTAACAGTACTAATTTCTTTTAAATCAGAATGCCTGACCAAATTTATGGAAGATTTAGGATGAAAAAATGTCCAAATTCTTTAGAATTGAGAAGGGGACACCCACTTTTACTTTTTGGTCAGATAACCTTACATATCTGGGGATTATTTTGAAATAAAGTCAGAACTATTGGACCTTTTACAAAACAGACTTTGAATTAACGTGTAAAGTGTACACCTGGTATTTAAATATTTAGGTTGTCCCCCGGAGACTGAATCTATCGAAAATGGGCGTGCATCTACGACATTTGCGAACAGGCAACCAATGGGTACAATCATTGAATATGAATGTGATACTGGTTATGAGACCAACAGTTCAGTCATCATCTGTCAGAAAAATGGAACATGGAGTGAAGCTAACTGCACAAATGTATCTTGTGATATGGCCCCGCAAGAATTACAAGGAGGGACCCTTGAGGAGAAATGCATTGGAACCAATGGATATTACAAGGACAACTGCACGTATTCTTGCAACATAGGATACACCATGAATGGCTCAAATGTGATACAATGTATGGAAGATAGGAACTGGACTGCCATCCCTGAATGTATTATAAAAGATTGTGGTGAGCCTGGCTCAGTTGAAAAAGGAACCTTAAGATATAATTCAACTGTTTTCAATTCAACTGCCACTGTTAATTGTGACATCGGACACGAGTTATCATCCGAGAGTAATATGGATGGTATTATCAGATGTAATGCATCTGGATTATGGGATGGGTATCCCATTGGATGCAGCATAAAGGATTGTGGCAAACCTGAATCAGCTCAAAATGGAGATTTTTCATATAATTCAACTGTCTTCAATTCCACTGCCACAGTTGACTGTGACATCGGACACGAGTTGTCATCCGAGAGTAATATGGATGGTATTATCAGATGTAATGAATCCGGATTATGGGATGGGTATCCCATTGGATGCAGCATGAAGGATTGTGGCAAACCTGAACCAGTTGAAAGTGGAGATCTTTCATATAATTCAACTGTCTTCAATTCCACTGCCACAGTTAATTGTGACATTGGATATGAATTATCATTGGAGAGTAATGTGGATGGAATTATCAGATGTAATGAATCCGGATCATGGGATGGATACCCTATTGGATGCTCCTTAAAGGATTGTGACACACCTGAATCAGCTCAAAATGGAGATTTTTCATATAATTCAACTGTTTTCAATTCCACTGCTATTATATCCTGTGACATCGGACACGAGTTGTCATCAGAGAGTAATATGGATGGTATTATCAGATGTAATGAATCCGGATTATGGGATGGGTATCCCATTGGATGCAGCATAAAGGATTGTGGCAAACCTGAACCAGTTGAGAGTGGAGATTTTTCATATAATTCAACTGTCTTCAATTCCACTGCCAAAGTTAATTGTGACATCGGATATGAGTTATCGTCAGAGAGTAATGAGGAAGGAATGATCAGATGTAATGAATCCGGGTTGTGGGATGGGTATCCTATTGGATGTACCAAAAAGGATTGTGGCAAACCTGGATTAGTTGAAAGGGGAAATTTTACGTATAATTCAACTGTTTTTAATTCCACTGCTATTATATCCTGTGACATTGGATATGAGTTATCGTTGGAGAGTAATGCGGAAGGGATTATAAGATGTAATGAATCTGGGTTGTGGGATGGGTTTCCTATTGAGTGCATTATTAAAGATTGCGGCGAAGCACCATTGATTACAAATGGCGCTGGTGATGGTTTAGGCACCACATATGAAGAAACGTGGCATTACGTATGCGATCCTGGATTTGATCTTATTGGAGAAAAGAACATCACGTGTCTTGAAACTGCAACATGGACAGATGCACCTAATTGTACAATAAAGAATTGTAGCTTCATTCCTATTTGGCAAAATGGACATGTAGTTGCATCTGATGGTCTGACATACGGTAGCACAATTGATTTTCTATGCGACCATGGGTACACACATGAAGGTGAAACTCGCATAGAATGTTTGGAGACTGGTCTTTGGTCAGAATTAGGTGAATGCAAACGTGTGTATTGTGCACCACATCCAACAATCAACCATGCTTTTATCTTGCACATTACTGATGATAATGGCTCTGAAAAACTAGATGAATATATCGGTTCAGGGATTTTTAATGCAACCGTTGACACAATGATAGAATACAGATGTGATCTTGGATACAACATGTCTGGTAATTCAACAATAACATGCCTTCAATCAGGAAACTGGACATCTCCAGCAGAGTGTAATATTGTCCAATGTGGACCACCTGATGACATCATCAATAGCACAGTCCAATATAACCAAACCTTTTACAACAGCACTACGGTATATGATTGTGCTGTCGGAAATATCCTGATAGGTGATAATACTTCGAGGTGCCTTGAAGATTCTACCTGGACAAGCCCACCATTCTGTTTGTTCATAGACTGCCATGACCCACCATATGTATCTCACAGTACAACTGGGTACACTGACAACAGAACAACAGTTTATGCCAAAGTAGACTATGAATGTGATATAGGATACGACATGGTAGGAAACAGTACAGCTTCCTGTAGTGTTACTGGAAATTGGAGTGACATACCTGTTTGTGTCATTGCAGACTGTGGGGAACCTCCAAATGTCCCTTTCTCAACATGGGACCAAAACACCACAACCACCTACGATAGTGTGCTGACATACACATGCTTCGAAGGGTATAAAATGATTCAAATGGAACCAAATACTTCGAGTTATGCCTCATGTTCTGCAAATGGCTGTTATGATGATACTATCGCATGTTCTAAAAACATGAGTTGTGATAATGGGCTATCGGCTAATAGTTCATTCCAATGTCCAACAAACAGAAGCTGTTATGAGTTTTTTGATAGAGCTAGTACAGTTCGCTGCCTACCGATTGGGAATTGGAACACTACACCAGTATGTGAACCCAAGGACTGTGGCTTGCTGAATATAAGCAATGGCAGCATGGTATACTTTGATAACTCCACAACATATGGCTCGAATGTTAGCATGTCGTGTGACGAAGCATACTATCTCAATGGAGACTCGACATTACAATGCAATGCTGATGGACAATGGTCAAATATAAGTGAATGTGTGGCAATAGATTGTTTCAACATCCCATCTGTCGACAACAGTGTATTTCTAAATCCATCAAACAACACCTTGTATGGGAGTGTGGTGAATTATACATGTGATATTGGGTATTTCATGACTGGCAATGACTCCATAACCTGTATGAACAATGGGTCCTGGTCATCCCCTCCAGAATGTACAATTCATGATTGCGGAGAAATGCCTAATATAAGTAATGGTATAGGAAGATTAACACATAAAACCCTCTTGAATATGACCACAGTCAACAATACACATCTTGACACATTAAATAAAACAATTACACAGATGCCTCATATACATGATATAACTAAAGCCGCACTTATTGATGCGCTTAATGGTTCGATGGATCCCCGAATTGCTATGGAAAATACTACACACGGGCCTAATATGACTATCACTGAATTCCAGAATGATGACGATGTAAATGCAAACAAGACAACGTCTAATGATACAAACGTTGATGGTTCCATGATGAATAACGATACCGATATACGCAATGTTTCGAATGTACATTTGATAACATCAAATGATGTAAGGCATAACCCGGGAGAGACGTTATATAGTACAACGTATCTTTCTATGGGAGAGTACACCTGCGATGATGGCTTCAATATGTACGGGGATCCAAAGACCATCTGTTTGGCTGACGGAACCTGGTCACAAGCTCCAGTTTGCAGTCTTTATGACTGTGGTGACCTGCCAGTAGTTCACAACGCTAATGTAGCTGTTAATCTCGACAGCACGAACGATAAGATTATAGCCACCTTTACATGTGTAACTGGTTACTTTCTCGTTGGGAATGAGTCGATCGAATGTGAAGCTGGTTCCTCGTGGACTACTGACACCCCTAAATGTGAGATTGTGAATTGCGGAATGCCACGAAAAGTTGCCAGAGCAGTACGGGAGGTTACAGATATTACATATGGAAGCATGGTGAAGTATACTTGCGAGAAAGGAAATATTTTACATGGTAGTTCAACAGCTGAATGCAAGGAAGATGGTTCTTGGAGTCCTTATCCAGAATGTTCCTTAGTGGATTGCGGGCCTTTACCTAGAGTTCAAAATGCAATAGGTCATTTAAGAGGTACCACGACAACCTATGGGAGAAGCGCATACTACACATGTGCATGGGGTCATAGGGCTTATGGTGATACAAATATACATTGTCAAGCAGATGGCCTATGGTCCTTTCCTTGTGTTTGTAGTCCTCTAGATTGTGGAGACATCCCTTTAGTGTTGAATTCCAGTGCAGCAGTAAGGCTATCACAGAGCATTGCTCTGCAAATTAACTACCAGTGCGATCCGGGATATAAACTAATTGGTCACCCACAGGTTACATGTATGCAAATTGAAGAGTGGTCGGCAATTCCAAGTTGTAATTTAATTACTACCACACCATTGCCTACCTCTCCAGCCACTACCACAACTTCAACAACGCAATCGACCACTGCATTACAATCAACCTTGTTTGATACTTCGACCAAACAATCCACGACTGCTGTCCGTACAACACCACTGGCTACAACAGAATTGTATACAACGCCTTATATTGTTGCCACTGAGCCTCCTAAGGCGGTTTACAAGAGGGTGAAAAAGATGGAGATCCCTCCAGAGGAAGCGAAGCATGCTCAGGTATAGCAACAGACCGTGTAATAAATTAAACGGAAGGTTATACAAATTTAATTAAAAGTATATCTTATTATTTGTCAAGGGTGACCACATATATCATTAATTCTTGCGATTTGAAAAATAACTATGGATTCTCTTAAATCCAAAAGTCACCCATTGTATTGGTATAACATTTGATTCACTATACTATGTTGTGTATGTTATTTCAGGTCGTAAGTATGCCTGTAGCTGTATTTCCTGCTATATTCCTCGGAGTTTTATTACTCACAGATCTACCAAAGATTATTGTAGATTGCAGACAAGGATTTAGAAACATGATGCACGGACTTCGGCAGTATATTAAATCAAGAAACAGAATTGCAACTGTGTGACATACATTCAGTTAAATAATTCGTTATGTTGACCCCAATGGACAGTAACTGATGGATTACTCCACAGATGTCGCTGTTGAAAAGGTAGAAAAGGATTGAAATCCAATTTTATCAGTGCAATCACCAGTAAAAATGTACAGACTTTACATTTTATTTTGTTTATCTAGTGTGTATATAATTTCATAAAAAGTATTACGAAATTATTTGGTTCACTACAAATATTTGAATTTCTGTGACGGTGGTCTTGAGTTTGAAATCTGTTGAAAAGTGTTGAAAATTCGAATAGATGGCGGAAAAAGCGGTCAGATCTTTTGATTTTGGTCTTTTTCGAGAGACATGTGAGTTACAAGGGGGACATATGGAGGAGCTTTAACGTTGTATATGTGGTTTGGTAACTGAAATTTTGAAAATTTGCGTGTTTTTCAATTGATCATTGTATGGGGCCATTTAATAGTTTACTTATCCCCATACATTCGACATATAAAGATGGTCATCATACTTTTTGAAGATTTTTTAATGTATTCCAGCTGTTTTGTTCTAGCAAAAGATGGCACTGTTGTTGTACTTTGGACTTTACTGTTGAAGATGTATTTATTACATCGAACTAAAAATAGATGGAAGTGCAGGCTGATTAATAGTCTCCTAACCTTTAAATGCACATGGTATTTGCAACATACAATCCTTCTACATTTTGGCATCAAGGAGACTTCCAGATGTGATTTCAAAATACAACGGATGAGATGTAATAGAATCACCATTGATACTGTTAAACACAAGGGAATGATCCTAGATATTATACATGTAGAATGCTAATTTCGTATGGAATTAAGTAATGAAATGTTTGAACAGATAATCAACTGTATACCTGTTTATAAGTCATGTGAACTCATTGTCAGTGAAGAATACATGATTCTAGAATTCCTTCTTGGAGGATGTGCTGATATCTAACATTTATTGATGATGCCACATCAATAATGTTACTTAACATATGTGCAATATACATTAATAGAATGATGTTCAAATTTACTAACCTCTAATAAAATGTCAAGTCCTTAATTTACAGGAAAATTACATGCATTGTACAGTTGCTCATATAAAGAGTTGGTCAAATATGTTTCATAAATATTTTCCCTAAATTTCAATGAAAATTAAATAACAACAGACACTTGCCATCGTCATGGTAACAGATATAAATAATAAGTTTATAACAATATACTTGTTTTTAGTATTAAGAAACATCTGTGATTTGAATTAAATGTGTTTTCTATGCTGTAATACTTTACTCCATATGTGTTATTTTTCATAAGTGTTCATTTAAAATTATTTTCTGATGTGTCCATTTATTCTTTACATTTATTAAAAAGTATTGGATTTACTTCTTAAGTTGCAAATTACAGCCATGAAAACAAGTTGCTTTTTAGCGCACAACGGCATAGTTAATTTTTTAATCAGTATAAACTATTTTAGATGAAAAAAAGTGGAAAACGTTGAGATGCTGTATCACTATAGTTATAAGTAATACTGATCATTTTAGTAAATTATACTATAAAAAATTGTTTTCAAAGTTTAAAATAGTTTATTTAAGTGACACTGATCTTGTAAATTACACAATATAAAATATATAATAATAAACATTTTATAAGATCATCAGCCGGTATCGACTGATGACACTATGAGTAAAAGCGAGCATTAAGAGAGCAACACTAAGTCCATATAGTTCAAACATTTTCTTTCTTATGGTACATTTTTTGTGGTTGGAATGGTACATTTCATCATCTTGAATGGATTTCTCTATACGGTATTTAAACTGTAAGAATTCTTTCATTGTATTGTATCATACTTGAAATGTCTTTCAACTCAAAATACAAGAGGTCATTAATGTAGGAACTCCATTTATTGAAAAATTCCTGAAACCCTGGGAATATTGACGTCATAGTAAGCACTCTTACATTATGAAACATAATATAACATTGAACTTGTTCTCATACCTTCATCATAATTTGATTATATAGAATTATTAAAATTACAGCTTATTAAAAAATCATGTCACATTATATAAATATTGTACTCAGCCGAGGTGAATTCCTTTCACAATTGATATACTTAAGAAACCGTAAGGGAATGCGAAATCACTTCGAGGAAATATCAGAGGTGACCGTGTTAAACAAAATAGAAAGAATTATTTGTTTCATTGTTTTTGGGGTATAATTAAGCGATATCCTCCCCTAACCCCAATATACTGTATGTACCTTAGTGTACCAAGCATTTGCAAATTCTTAAGTACGGATACTATCCCTAGATATTGCCCGCAATGTATGGCTTGTTACCCAGTGAAGCCGCTAAAAGTCGTTCATATTTCTTTTCATTAGAATCATATTCACTTCCGGTTTGTTGTTGAACGTAATATTTTATGCAATCGGGGTGTCAACATTGATCAACATTGATAAAGATCAAAATTTGTCACTAAATCAAAACAATTGGAAGAAGATAAATATACTTAACAAACTGAGTAACTTTGAACCTAAGTTATCATCTTTCACTTACAAAGTCCTTCATGGATTTTTAGCAACTGATACATACTTAAAAATGTGTGGACTCATAGAGTCAAACATTTGCACTTTTTGTAAAGCAAATCCTGAAACAATTTGCCATCTTCTGTATGAATGTACTATTGTGAGTGCCTTATTAAATGACAAATTTAAATAGCTCCCTTTAAAGCTCACAGTGTTATGTACTAAACAAAATGTATTGATAGGACCTGAGTGTATTAATGAAAAACCGATCATCCTAAATAGTATGCTATGTATTTTTAAAAGGTATGTTTATTTGTGCAAATATTCTATGCTAAAACCAACACTTAAAGGTTTTATAAGTAATGTGAAGGATTATTTTATTATGGACAAACGAGTTGGCAGATGTGATAAGTGGAAAAATCGTGGAAGCAAAATTAAACAAATGACACTGATTTTTCCTTTAAATAAAAAAAATTGCCAAAGGTATAAAATTATTAAACACTAACGTGTAACCAATACTGTATTGTAAAATGTACTTTTAACATGTAACTGTATTGTAATTGTTTTTTCTTCTCTGAAATAAAATAAATAAAATGAAAAAGTTATCCTATTCTTAGTAGTGTTATAGCTAAATAACATGTGGGAATAAAATTGATGACCGGGAGATACATAGAGCATATCCTACGAATTTAGCAGAAGTACTCGAAGGCAAAAACCGCTTTTACAAACTGGCTTCTTACGTACTACAGAAGCCGGCTTCTGGAGTCACCAAGAAGCCGGCTTTCAAAAGCCGGCTTCTGAAGGACAACAGAAGCCGGCTTCTGGAGTCACCAAGAAGCCGGCTTTTACAAACTGGCTTCTTACGTACTACAGAAGCCGGCTTCTACAGTCAACAAGAAGCCGGCTTTTAAAAACCGGCTTCTGAAGGACAACAGAAGCCGGCTTCTGGAGTCACCAAGAAGCCGGCTTTTAAAACTGGCTTCTTACTTACTGACGTACTGCAGAAGATGGCTTTTGAATATCGTTTATATTGTCATATGTTTGCAAAACTATACGGGTAAATTGAATTCTAAGCATGAATATCGATGAATTTGATCACGTTCATCAATTCCAAAAATATTATGCATTGTATTTCTGTTTAATAAAAACGCACCGCTCATTTTTCAAAACTGGCTCCAATTTGGAGCCAGTTTTCAAATCAGCTCGCACCATTAAACACAAGCTATGAACGGACAATCTAGCCACTGGGAATCACGAGATACTGTCTCCCGATCATTTTGATGTGGATTATGCATCTTATTCTCGTATAATCTGCATGAAAATAAGGAAAAACTGAAAAATATGTAAAATTATAACATAATTCAAGATTTTTTGCAAAAAGTCATTTCAAGTCAAAACTATGAGAGAAAATTGAAGTCTAAGTAAAAATATCGATGAATTAGATTATGTTCACTAAATCAGAACAGATTAATATGCATTGCATTTCAATTTTATAAAAACGCATCACTCATTTTTCAAAACTGGCTCCAACTTGGAGCCAGTTTGCAAATCAGCTCGCTCCATCTTACACAAGCTATGTAGGGGCAATCTAGCAACTGGGAATCACGGGATACTGTCTCACGATTATTTTTATGTGAATTATGCATCTTATTCTCGTATAATTGGCCTGAAAATGAGAAAAAAAACTGAAAAATACGTTAAATTGTAACTTATTTCAAGATTTTTTGCAAAAAGTCATTTCAAGCCAAAACTATGAGAGAAAATTCATTTCTAAGTAAAAATATCGATGAATTAGATCGTGTTCACTAGATCAGAATAGATTATACATTGCATTTCCGTTTAATAAAAAGAATAAGATGCATAATGCACATAGAAATGATCGTGAGACAGTATCCCGTGATTCCCAGTTGCTAGATTGTCCCTACATAGCTTGTGTAAGATGGAGCGAGCTGATTTGTAAACTGGCTCCAAGTTGGAGCCAGTTTTGAAAAATGAGCGGTGCGTTTTTATTAAACGAAAATGCAATGCATAATCTATTCTGATTTAGTGAACGTGATCTAATTCATCGATATTTTTACTTAGAAATGAATTTTCTCTCATAGTTTTGGCTTGAAATGACTTTTTGCAAAAAATCTTTAAATATATTACAATTTTATGTATTTTTCAGTTTTTTTTCTCATTTCATGCAAATTATACGAGAATAACATGCATAATGCACATAAAAATAATCGTGAGATAGTATTTCGTGATCCCCAGTTACCAGATTGTACCTACATAGTATTTGTCATATCGGGCGAGCTGATTTGCAAACTGGCTCCAAGTTGGAGCCAGTTTTGAAAAGTGAGCGGTGCGTTTTTATTAAACGGAAATGCAATGCATAATCTATTCTGATTTAATGAATGTGATCTTATTCATCGATATCTGTGCTTAGAATTCAATTTACTGTCATAGTTTTGGCTTAAAATGACTTTTTCCAAAAAATCTTGAAATATGTAATAATTTTACGTATTTTTCAGTTTTTTCTCATTTTCATGCAAATTATACGAGAATAAGATGCATAATGCACATAACAATTATCATGAAACAGTATTCCGTGATTCCCAGTTGCTAGATTACCCCTACATAGTTTGTGTAAGATGGAGCGAGCTGATTTGCAAACTGGCTCCAAGTTGGAGCCAGTTTTGTAAAATGAGCGATGCGTTTTTATCAAACAGAAATGCAATGCATAATCTACTCTTATTTAACGAACATGATTTAATTCATCGATATTTTTACTTAGACTTCAATTTTCTCTCATAGTTTTGACTTGAAATTACTTTTTGCAAAAAATCTTGCAATATGTTACAATTTTACTTATTTTCAATTTTTCTCATTTCCATGCTAATTATACGAGAATAAGATGCATAATGCACAACAAAATGATTCAGAGAGAGAATCTGGCTTTTAAAACTGGCTTCTTGGTAACTGCAGAAGCCGGCTTCTGTAAGTCATTCGAAGCCGGTTTTTAAAAGCCGGCTTCTTGGTGACGCCAGAAGCCGGCTTCTGATGTACTGTAGAAGCCGGCTTTAAAAGCCGGCTTTGAAAGCCGGCTTTGTATATTTGCCTTCGACTCTTTCTCGAATTTAGGGATACGATTTTTATCCATAATTGGATATCGCCCATTTCCACGAGTAGCCGAGAAGAGATCTGCAATATTCAAGAGTGGATAAAAATGATAGTCGAGAAAATCATAGGATATCATATTTATCATATGTATGGACATAAAATAATTAAAACTAAAAGTTGTTGTTTTTTAATTCTTTTCTAATTTTTTCATTTGATCTTCAGTGAACTTATTTTTACAAAATGAAAAACTCATTTTTACTTTAACATAACCTTAGAACTATATTGTCAAACAGACAAGTGGTTATAACAATTTTTAATTTTTTCAATTTTTTTCAATTTTTTAAAAATTGTTTTTCTGAATTTCGTTTTTTCAAATTTGTTTTTTTCAAAATATCTTTAAATAGTATCCGTCGAAGGCGCATACCATGATAATTATCTTGTGTTGTTATTCCCATGTATATTTACTATTTAGTATCCATCGTACATATCGAGGCGTCAACGTCGTTCTCTAATACAATTGTATATCTGGGGAACTTACAATTTTTTAACCATTAATTAATTAATTAATTTTTTAATGTATTATATACTATTCAATATAACTATCTCTTAATCCATAAAAGGAATAACCAATCATGTCAATCAATCATTTGAAAAACGGTGAGTTTTCCCTGTACAGGAAGCAACGGGGGTAATGTGTTTGGTATTTATAAACACTCTATTGTATTGACACAATAGGACATATGTATGATGTTACAAGACTCTCCGATTTTAAAACATGAAAATCTTTCGAATTTTTATGCAAAAAGTAATAGTCCCATATACCGTTGTACAGCTTTACATGTCCTCTTTGAAACTAGAAATATCATGGGAAACTAAAAATCGGACAACTTGATTTGTCGACCATCTACATCTAGAAATAGTTGTCCACTTTTTAGCAGTCTTTTAAAGTTATGATATGAGCTTTGAGCAATTTTCAATGAAATAAGAAATTTAAATAAAACTTAATAAGTATAAAACTTAAATAGTATATATGTTTTACATTTTTAAATATACCCTTGTATTTAATTGAATTATGTTTCATATATTTCAGGGAAATATATACACGAGATGTTTAAATGTGTTTATTGAAAGTAATATAATTTATCAGAGTGATCTAAAATTTAAATTCAAATCCGAGTTGGTTACAAAGGGAAAAAAGACAGATATGGAATCAAAACTAAATATGATTTCATGTCAGGAATGAATATTCTGGGATAAAAAGCTTATTTTCAAGTCGAAATTGAATATGGGCTTTATTCATCGGAACAATATAATGCTTCTCTCGGAAAATATCATATTGTCCTTTGGACTGCCATATTCCATCCCTCCCAGTGAACATCTTCTATATGCCCTATGTCATTTGATCAGTGCTTGATCCAGGCCTATCACAATATATAATCAAATAATCAGACCTCATACAAATGGCTTATATCATTGCTCGTACTGTATCTTGGATCATGAATTTGAAACAAATATGTATCGTTGTGTGATCATGTCTGATTCGACCACGTGCGTGATCTTGGTACTACGAGGACCAGGTGAAGTCCAAAATAATACTGGAAAACATGATCTCAAACAATAGGGATGGATTTAAACAATTTGAACAAATAAAAAACACAAAAGTACGAGATTTATGAACTTTAATTTACTGTCTTATTATCTTTTACAACCATAAAGTTTCATAATTCTTAATGTTGACATTACAAATGGGTGCGCAAGACCGACTGAGAGAAAAGTACAATTTATTCAAGTTCGGTTTTTGAACCCACTCGAAAACCTTTGAATATTAAAATTATGTCAATTAATATAATAGCATTTCTACTATGAATTGACGAACTTTCTGAATTCTCCTGATTTGGCATGTTGCCAAAAAGAATTATTTCTTCAATAAGTAATTAGACGTTTACTATATTTTTCTCATGTATGCCACCATAACTTTGAACATTGTGTATTGAATGGAATTGAAAAGAGAGTATCAATGTATATAATAAAAAAAGTACGATAAAGTAAATTAGGAAGTTCAATCGGGACTTTACTTTGTTTTTATTGACTATTCATGAGTTACCAAAATTAATGAAATATACATCTTACATATTGTAACACCTACTGGTTTTAATAAGTTAATAAGAGTTTATTAAATAAAAAAAATACAATTAGACTGCCCTATGACGTTTGCAGTGTGCTCTTGAAATAACTTACGAGATGCATTGATTACACGACGCAAGCCGCAATTGGTTGATTGACATTTCCACACACGTGTCGGATTCTAGTTAAGCCGCTGCATCTGTAACACGGACTACCTGCAAAGTAATGACGCAAATGTCTCCAAATTTCTTCTATATAACCCGTTAACACAAGTGATCTTTCAATACTACCTTGGACTGACAAGATGGCAACTTCAACGCGCTTCAACGTCTTTGGCCTAGGCTCCCTCGCACTGCTGGTAAGTACTTGCGTAACATTTTACATATACAAAATAAAATATATTTATTTGTTCTTAATTCTTATATGACTAAAGTAAACCTAGGCCATCGATTTTGAGGTTGATTTTTAAGATTGAGTGATTTATGGTATGCACCATGATTAAAATGAAGGAGTGTTCATTTTTACTATATTTCATCTCGTTACGATAATAACGTAAAAATACTGTAAGCAGTTGCAGAAATAAAACTTTGCCGACACATATACATGCACATATAAGATAACTGAACTTGAACCAAATTATTCTATTTCACGTTTTTCTAATCGTTTGTGGTACCAGATTTGACTGTAATTTTTCTTAATTTGAAAGTTAAAAACCTGACAGAATCGTTCAAACAGGGGAAAGATCTATTGGTAAATAGTTTTGAGCACATATCTAATGTTACATTAGTTATAAAGAGTGGTTCTCTGGAGCCACCTTAGAATTTTAGAAAAGCTTTATCAATAATGGAATTTTCATTAAAGTATGTTTATGCCTAATAGATACCATCATTGGCTTTGAGATAAGAGAAAGTTACATTTCACTCGAGGCATTCTCTTCAGGCCAAATCACTCAAAATGTAATTACTGCTTATAGATGGCGTGTCTGCTGATAGGTGACGCAACTGCTGCTGATCCAGGTAAGGAAGCCATTAAAAAATAGAATAAGGGTCAGGCTAGGTCTTTTTGGGTTCTGAAAGTTGTCGCCCAACGTTCAAGAAAAAAGAATTTCTAGGCCTGATCCGTTTTGATATTTTTGACGCAGAGAATATTTAGAAGTACTTAAAATATTTAGAAAATTTAAAAACGTCTCTTTGTGCATTTGAAAGTATACCGATTCAATTCGTCGATATCTAAGAAAATTCAACAAGCATTCATTTTCAGAATTCGCTTTCTCAATCCCTGGGTATAAAAAGTACCTGTCTTTTGATTCCAGTTTATACCGAGGGTGATTTTAGCGCTAGCAGTTACAACTCGACGCATTGTTGGATTCTCACCAACTATAGGCATCGACTCACCCAGCCTCACAGGATTTACAGAATGGTGGAACTTTGCCTCAATGGGGGATCTAATACACTCTGTGAGGTTAAAGTCGCATCAGCAGAAGCTGGTATGTTGACATCAATGAAATATTTACAGATCTATTCTCACCATTGTTTCTAAATAAACTTCAGTTTTGTTCAGATGCTCTAGATCTTATGCAGTGAAACAAGCATTGATATACATGGTCGGGGGCCTAGGAATGATCCGTATCACTAAAAATATGAAAATGATACACATATTTCAGTTTAAACAAAACATTTGTTTAAATTCCTATTATGTTATATTGCATTGAATGAATATGAATATATAAGTCAGAGGCATATATGGCTTAAGGGATATCTCTGTGCATCTTAAACTTGCACTCATAGCAAGTTGTAGCGATTTCAATAAAAGCAGCGAACTGCAGCGAACTTTTTGAAGTTTTATCCTCGATTTTTCAAGTTTGATCGTTTCGTTATTTCGATTTTGATTACATTATTTCAAGTTTGATCGTTCAAAGCGTAATTGTTACATCATTTCTAGTTTGATCGTTTAATTGCATCAAGTCTAATCGTTAAATCATTTCTAGTTTGATCGTGATCGTTTCATTATTTTTTCAAGTATAATCGTTTCACAATTTCAAATTTGATCGTTCAAGCTGGAGAACATTGTACTTTGAATTCCTAGAACTAATTCTTGTTTCCTTGCAGGTTGCCCAGTAGGATTCTCATTTCAGTACGAAGACAGCTGCTACAAAAGGATCCCTGGATGGCGTAAACACGATTATGCTGCAGCCCTGTGCCAATCTTACGGTGCATCGTAAGTAGACTTTTGACCATAGTTTAACAGTAATATTTACTTGAACAAACGTTCTACTAATTGACTTAATCTTTGGAAAATTATATATTTTTAATGTTTAAAACAACTTTTAAGCCACACCTCACAGAGATTGGACAATAAATAAATAGAAAACATGTTTACCAACAATTCGTGTGAACTATACAATGTTGGAATAAAAATATAACCATTGCTATATTTTAACAGGTTGGCCTACATGAGCGAGGACGACAGCGACGCTGAGTTGAACGCCGTCGGAGGGTTAATAGTCCTAGATGGCGGGGCACCTTGCAATGGAGTCTCTGAGTATACACTTGGAAACGCGGAAATACCACCTTATAGTCCGTAAATACTGTTAAAAAGCGCCTGTTCTTACCTACTATGGCGTGAACAACTTATGTAGTGTATTTTACGACGAGAATCAACGATAAAACAAACATTCCAGCTCAGAAATGTTAAAATTAGAGTTAGTTAAATAATAGGACTTTGGACACGCCACATTGGAAAATTCAAAAACATTTACAAAATAAAAACACTTGTGTTCTGACATTCACGAAATAGGATTCATTGTGTTACCTAGGTTGTATACCTTCTCTGACTTAACGTTGATGAAGGAAAAGGGTGTGACAGATGTGATTGTACCCATATCATGTGGTGATCTCTGCTTGCCATATACTAATGAGGAATATTGTCACCATCAGGCAAAAATACAAGGTGTCCACAAAGTATCTTTACATACAATACAAAGCTTGTGTAAAGTGTAAAGATACTTTTTGGACACTCTGTACAATAGAGGGGGGACAATACGCCTATGAAACATTCATCTTTATCACACCATTTTCCCATCACAGGCTCCTATCAATTTAGCTATCTCTGTCATCATATACTACTTACAACACTCAATTACTTTGTTATTGGATTGATATCTTTGGATATTTTGAATAAAATTGCACATTTAGTACACAAAAAGCCTGTTTCTTTATGTTTTGCAAATTTGATCATAGATATTGGGGCTTGTTATGTCATCACCAAAAAGTGGTGACATATTGTTATGGTCCCCGTTTTTTGACGGCCGTCGGCGGTTGTTGGTTGGTGATCGGTGGTTGGCGATCGGCATCTGTAACAAATTCTTACAACTGCCAATAACTTAACAAATACTGTTTAGACTGACTTCAATTTTTCAAAATCATTTACAAGTTTTCAGAAGTTCAAATGTGACTTTATATTTAAGATTTGACATTTGATGACCTTTTCAAGGTCAAAAGGTTAAAAAGGTCAAAAGACTATTTTTCTAACTTGCTTCAAATTGACCATTCTTTCAAAATTATCTACAAGATCACAGAAGTTCAAATCTGACTTTAGATTTCTCCTTCAATGACCTTCTCAGGGTCAAAAGGGTCTTTTTTCAACCAGCTTCGATCTTAAGTCAGAAATTCAAATCTGACTTAAGATCGAACTCATAATATTATGAGCAACTAGGTGGTGACATTTGTCATGTTAATGCCTTGTACACTGCGGGATCCACAGTCTGTATTATCCCTTGTAACACATAGCATTAGGTCAAGAGGGAAAATATGGATCTAAAATACACTGCAGTATGACCAAACCGTGTCAAAAACATAAACGAAAGCAAAAACCTTTTACCGACGTGAGCTAAAACGTCGTATGAAGAGTGAAGACAGGGCTCTGATTATTTCGTTTGTAAATCGATATATTAAAGTAATGAAGAAGAATAAAGAAAATATAGGAGCCTCCAAGAACCTTGCCAATACGTCCCTCTATTAACATTTTCTGAAAAAAAGAATTGAGATATCTCATCAAATAGGGAAATCATTGAATATTGGCGATGCAGAAATGTCAAGAAATTCAATAGAATACATTCATTAGAGTAACCTTACGATTTGATGGACGATTTTGAAAGCTTTTTAAAAATTGTCATAACATGAAATGATATTAAAGCAAAATAACATTATAAAATTGTGTCAATTTCGCGGATACATGATGATATGCTAAACTCACTCGGGCCAATTTCGTCGAGCATCGAAGGTCAACGAAAGGTCAAATATGAGATCAGTTTACGGGTATTGACTTTGATGACTCTAAGAAAATATTGATTGAAGAGTGAGCCGAATATTAACACTTTCACTATTTCTAAGGTCGTTAAACATCAACGGAAAATGAAAACGTTAAATTATAGATACATTTTTACAGTTGCAACAGTGAATATCATATATACTATTCAATTATGAGTTCAATTTTGAGAAACTTTTCATCATTCCTTTAATAACCTTGATCTTGTGATCGTCAAGGTCGATACCACTGACCTAGTCATTTTGATTAATATTATTTTCAACTCAAATAAACGGTTCAAAAAGTAACTTTTTGACCCTTTTGAAGGTCAGCAAGAGGTCAAACTTGATCCAAGTCATCCAAGATATGAGTTCCTGATAAAGTATATTTTGTTGATGATTTCGTTTATGGAAATAACTTGAGGCAAGTTGAATCTTTTCTTCGTTTCACAACCTTTTTCAACTGTATAACTGTATCCAGACAGGATCCGAAACGTCCTGTTTAGTAAAATAAAGGTTGTGAAAAGAAGAAAAAATATTTTTGTGATTTGATAATCCAACCTGAAGAACATGTTTAAGAAGTTGAATCTTGCTTCCGCATTGACGATGTTTATACCAAAATTTCTTGAGACTTGAGACTTTTTTGAGCCTGCAAACCTTTTCAGTATAACAGCACTGTTAAAATGATTTCACGAAATTAACAGTAACAAACGAATCTCAGTTAAGTTCAGTACTAAGTTCAACTATAAATTACCACAAAGAGGCGGGTACGTTATTGCAAGCTTTTTAGACAGCTCTTACCTAAGGTTTAATAATTATTTCACCACAAAAACAAATGCATTTGTTTGACCAATATATCATCTTCAATAAGGGGCAATAGAATGAAAGTAAAGTCGAACGGATTATATCTTAAGCTGTCATTAATCCATCCATCATCACCAATTTTTCGCAATAATAATGAACCAATTTTTTTTACCTTTTTTCCTTTATATGTCCCCACCACCACAGTGTGGGGCCATATTCTCGGCCTGCGCGCATCGTCTGTCTGTTCGTCCGTCCGTCCGACAGTTTTCTCAAAAACCGCCATCACTTTCAAACTTTTAGGGATAACTTATGAGTATGAACAGATCCGGTAAAAAAAGTTCGACTTGATATCTACTTCCTGTCGGCCATTTGAAGTCCAATGCTGAAATACTTGTCTGCAAACTGAGAAACGGCTTCACAATTACTTTTAAAACTAACATATTCACCCTATGCTTAGTGAGCGGAGCTAATTTCAAGGGTGATGGTAAGACGAGGCATGGCGCCCAAAAACCAAAGAATATTAGTACCATAATCTTTTAAGTCGTATTATTGCAGCATAAGGTGATGATATTATGATATTTTATGCTGTTTCAGAAGTGAAAGATGTTAAACTATGCACCGTTTGTTTTACATCCAATAAAACGAATATTTAAGATGAAACGGTCGTTTAAAGATACAATTTGAAATTACCGCAAGAAATCACAACCTAATATTGTCAATATGTCAATAATTCCTGATCGATGTCACATATAAAGATATATGTACCTAGATATGTTTTATTTTTTCATATATGCGAAATAAGGCGGTCTCTAGTTATGTACATCCAATACAAAATGAATGTTTACTAGAGTGTCTATTCGGCGATCAGAATTTCGATGACGAGCAATGGCGATGTAATTTGCGAAGAAAGCATCAGTGCACCTAGTTACAGGCCAGGTTTGGGCGCCTTGCCTCGTCTTTACCATCACCCTTGAAATTAGCTCCGCTCACTAAGCATAGGGTGATATTGTTTAGCTCACTTCATTCTACGTCTGATTAGGTTTTGGCCATGAGTACATGTCATGACAGCTATTTTGAATGTTTTAAGAAAAGTCAGCTATCGATAATAATTTTTATCATATTAAAAGGTGTTTTTGAGTTCTCATAATTAAACTATTTAGCTTTAAAAAAATTTCAGGTGTCCTGTATTGTAGAAACTCATGTCACAGTTCACAGTTGGTATATACAATAATTTTGTTTAAAAAATTGACAAAAATTTATGTCAGTGTTTTTATTGTCGGTCATCCTTGGTGTTTTCCGTCGTAAATCATGTCTGTTAGTCTTGTCTATGTTTTTTTGACAAATTGTTTTAGGGATCAATTTCAAACTTTTAGGCATGATTCTTAGCATGATAAACTTTAAGTGATTCAGTTTTGGGTGTGCTGGGTAAAGTTTATCTGGGTCATTTGGGATTTTCCGTCCTAAAATATTGTCTGTAAAGTCTTGTCTACGCGTTTTCAGGCTATTCGTTCCACAGATTAATTCAATTTTCACAGTTGGTATATAGGAATGGTTCATATGATGCAAATCTAGAACGGATTAGGTTCTGGGCATTCTGGGTAAATGTCAAGGTGGCCATTTTGGATTTGCCGTCCTAAGATCTCTTCTGCAAAGTCTTTCTTTATTATTAAAAATATTTATTCTCTAAATTAAGATCAATATATAAAAACACTTGACACTTTTAATAAGTGTATCAGTGTGAAAACATAAAATAGTAATCTGAGTCACATGGAATGAGAAGAAAGAACAATTAAAAATATTCACTCAGTCAAATGAGAATAAAATTGTTTACAATTAATAAAATGTACATATATGTTTGTCAATAATTTAGTTCATTCATATTTTGATATCATATGAATTTTAAAATTCTTTTTAAAACAGTTTATGGAAGGCGATGTTTTCAAAGAAGTTGGCAGATTATTCCAAAGCTGAGCACCTGAATATTATATGAGTGTTGACCTATAATTGTTCTAATTTTTTTCATATGAAGACAATTTTGGAATCTTGTCTGATGTACGTGAATATTATGTTTGGAGTAAAATAATTTTCAAATATGTCAAAAGGAAAGCCAACAGGCTTTGTTGTGTATTGATAAAGAAATTTTGCAACTTCAAGCTTATGTATGTCAAAAATATCTAGAAAATTGAGTTGTTAAAAAAAGAGGTGGGCTATGTGCTAAAAAGTCAGAATTTGTGATTATTCTCACTGCACGTTTTTGTAACAAAAGCAATTTATTCAAAAATGTTTTACATGCATTACCCCATATGATAAGTGAATTATAAATGGTAATCATAGTTTTTTATATTCAATTTATATTTAATCTTTCCCAGAATACCAATAATTTTTGATATTTTATGTATTACCTTATTTATGTGCTCATTCCATTTTATCATCATCATGAAGAATTTTGTTTGAACGTAAGATATTTGTATCATCCGCAAAAATAGTAAATTTAAGAATATTTTAAACCTTATGTAAATCATTTATATAGAGAATGAATAAAATGGAGCCTAAAACAGACTCTTGAGGTACACCACAAGTGATAATGTTTTCTTCAGATAGAAAATTGTTAAAAAAGGTAATGATTTTTCTATCAGATAAATAGCTTTTGAACCAATTTTTGCAACATTACGAATTCCAAAATTTTCTTCCAAGAAGGAGAGGGTTGCCATATAAGTTGAATAATGTTTTCTAAAACCAAACTGATTTTTGAATAAAAGTTTGTATGTTTCAATAAATGTTATTTATCTATTTTTCATGATCTGTTCTAAGAGTTACGAGCTTTCAGGCTAATCGTTTCACGGGTCAATTCCACATTTTGAGGAGTGACTCCTAGTATGAGATTCTGGAACTGATTACGTTTTGGTCATTCTGGGTAAATGTTAAAGTGGCCATTTTATATTTTCCATCCTAAAATCTTGTCTTTAAAATCTATCTTAAAATAATTTTCAGGGATGATTCTTTATATGTAAATCTGGAGCTTATTAATTTTTAGATATTCTTGGCAAATGTTAAGGAGGCCACTTTGGATTTTCTGTCATTTAAACCTTGCCTGTAAAGTCTTGTCTACGCATTTCCAGGCCAACTGTTAGACAGATCGATTTCAAATTTCCAGGAATGATTCTTTGTATGAAAATCTCAAACTGACTGCCTTTTGGGATTTTTGGTAAAGGTAAGGCGGCCATTTTGATTTTTTCTAAAAAGTTTAATTCAATTAATTATTGTTTGGCATTCAGGATGAAAAAATAATATAGGATATATATATGGTACAGACGCCAACCACCAACCACCGATCGGCAACCACCAACCGCTGATCACCGTCACAAAAACGGAGACCACCCAAATATGTCACCACATTTGGTGGTGACCTAAACATATCATCAAGATTAATCTTCAATGTGAACTCTAGAGAATTTCCACAGGCCAATTTTCAATCAATTTAAAATACAGCACTCAATGCAAGTTTCATGATATACGGGCAAATTTAATTGATATTTTTTTAAATTCTGCTATTCTACCACATCCAGCGCCATGTGTATTAATATCAACGATGTTATACTGTGTGCTATCGTGATGCCAAGACAACTGTTTAGCATGACCATGCGATAATAATTGAACATATTGCTCATTATTTCACCAGGTCAGTCGTTTTCTAACTGGTTAAATATGATATGTTAATAAAATTAATGATATATATTTAATTGTATATTCAAATGGATCAATAGACCAGAGACATGCCCCGACAATTTCTAAGTCTACTTATTAGAAATAATTTAATTCACCAACAAAACTTCATATTTCAAATTATGAAAAAATGAAAAAAATGAAATAAATTTAAATACAATGGCTTTCACTTCGAGGTAAAATAATCCGGAATTGAACTGAAAATACTTAGTCAGTAGTTTTAATTACATTGTTATTAAACAAGTCCAAACACACTGAAGTTTGAGAAATTAATGAATTCAAACGAAAATATACTAATAGAAATGTAAATTTTTAATCGAGGCTGGGCAAAAAATGTACATTCATAATGTTATTTCAATGTTTGTTACTGTATTGGTTAAGTTTATCTTCTGTACTCTTATACCCTATAAGGGGTGAATTGAGAAATCAATAAATAAAAAAAAATAAAAATAGAAAATAAAAAAATACATCCATAGTAACATATAAAAGTCATGTTATCAAGTTACATAATTATACTTAGACAACCCAATTGACTATCACCTGGGATGTGTTTCATAGATAAAAAAAAATGCATTTTATTTACCTGTACATTAGTATTTTAGTATACATTAGTATTTTATAGTACTCTATAGTATTTTATAGCTTTTGTATGGTTTTTGTTTTTGGAAGACATGTTATTAATACACTCACATAGCTATAACTTTGTTGTCACAACGTATCAATAATATTTGTGATTTTTAAAGGAGTGACCCAATTTATTCATGCTAAGTGTCCGAGTCGAGGAATCTTAATGTAGGAAAAAATAAGCGGAATTATACTTAATCAGGAAAGTATGCCACATTTCTAAATCCAGCCGTGCTTCTTTGGAGAGAGTTACTTTTGCAGAGTCTTTACGTTTTTATGTGTACTTTAGTGATTGACCTAGCAATTCATACAGTAGACGTTTTGATGTCATTCTGCCCTCTCACGGCTCTGGTTGCAAATGCTTACTTCCCTAACAGCGATTCTATGAAGTTTTTGGTGCCAAAAATCTATTTTAACTAAAGGAAGGGTCACTTATGGTTCAAATAAAATAAGCATCAAGGTCAAAACTTTTCTATAACTGAACTTAAGAACTTTCAAAGATAACAGGTACCGCGAAAATTCGTTGAAATCAATTGAATGCGCAATTGAATAATTCACAATTTCAACTTCATCTTGTCTTTACATCTAGTCGATTTTACTTTTCTAGAGATATTACAAAAATCATGTAGTGATTTTAAATGCTGGATTTGCTGTATTATCGGTCCATTGCTTTACCTAGTAACCACCTAGCACTGGCATATAAATGGAATTAGTAAAATTGAAATATTGGGGAAGGGAAAATAAAAAATGATATCTAGAAATTTCAATAAGACAACATCATATAGATCATTTTACCAAGTAAAAATATCCAGAAACATGCAAATTTAGAATCAATGGTACCCATGGCTTCAAACAGTTTTTGAGAAATGTTTTTTCTCTCAAATTAGTGAAGAGAACACAATTCGCGAGTACTTGCCAACTATACAGTCTTCCACCTTTAAAATACATAAAATGGTCAATTTGGGCTCGATGTTGAGAATAAAACATATTGGAAAGGAAAAATGATATGCTTAATGACTTTTCATCAAAAAGAGCAATAATGACCACTTCGCATCTTCTACAGTACAGTAAAACCTGTATATAGTGAACACCTATGGAGCCACAATAGTGTTCACTGTAGGTAGGTGTTCACTACAGAGAGGGTTTTTATACATGAGTTAATGTCAAATATGTCTTAAAGTGGTGTTCACCAAACACATGTGTTCACTAGAGAGTGATATTCACTTAGACAGTTTTTACTGTATTAGAAACAAGATAACTACTCTATAAATATTTTATTGATTTTAATCTGATTGGCTTCAACTTCCGACTTTCATAACTTTGTCCCTATAGCCCATGTCACCTTCAAGCTAGAAAAATAACGAATGAACCAAAAAACTTGCAAATAATTGCATTCTTTGATGACCACAGATGACCTCAAAAGGCAGGGATCCCTACGCGTAAATAAGTTAAGAATGAAAGTAATGGATAATTAGTTTATTAGTTTAAATACACGTACACTGGTACTTTCATATACAATTTAAAATGGTAATTATTGCCAATTAAATAGAGATCCTGTAAATCGCTTTTTATTTATGCAACAATCTTACATTTCTTATTTTATGACAATTTATTTAAAAGTAAGACCTTCTGTAAGTTCAAAAAGTTCAAAAAGTATTCAATAGACTTTCGATTTAAGTTAGATGAAAAAGTCACAAAAGAATCACTTAAATATTTCATGATATTTCTTACTACACTTGTATTAACTTACTAACATGCAATTAACACTAAGTAGAAAAAACTTCAAATCATATGACGTCATTAATATTAATTGGTTCAAAAGGATAAAGTATCGAGCAATTCATTTTAATCCCAAAAGAACTTTTTTATTGATAGATCAGAAACTATTTCTTAATGTAAAATATCGAAGTTACATGTAGGTCAATGACTTACTTTTGCTAAAGGTTCGTTCTTTACTTGCACTTATTTCAAAGGTGAAATTTTTACAAAGTGATCATGAATTAACAGTTAGAACACCTCGTCGATGCTTTTTTCAACAAATATTCTTTGTCTTTGCCGTATATATTTCAACATGTTTAGAATGACAACGCAGGTGGTGGATACTAGAGCGTGCTTGGTACGTATTGTGTGTTACATGTATCTCTCGATCTGCATGTGTCACAACAGTAAAAAGCTAGTACTACATGTATAAGTGTTATTATTTTGGCACATACCATGATGAGATACTCAGAAATAACTCACAACAGCCCATGGGCTACAAATAAAACGCTTCATTGTTAAAGTGTGTATTTTCTTTCAGATTATGTGTCTGTTTCTGGCTAGTACATACACCCAGGCTCAAGAAGATATTGACACAGGTATAGTGTTTTGAATCCTTGACCACGTATAGTTCAGATAATGATGAAATGAAGCTACAATAAGACAAATTCAATGATTTTGTTTTGGGAAATATGTCTAAAATAATAAGCTACTTCGTTCATAAACGGTCTTCGATACGTCCATCTCATTCGCAGTTCATTCAGGTCGCACCACGTCGTTGTGCAACGTCGTATAACGCGTCTCTTAGTCTAGTAGGTCATCATGACCTGATTACAGAACGGTATGGTCGCCATTGAATTTTGAATCGATTCAAAATTCTAAATCACATTCCCCGTCCGGGAAAGTCCATGAAGTTCGTAAACAGACCGTAGAACGTTGTAGCTACGTTCATTCCGTTCGCACACAGTTTAAAACCAGTTTTGAAGAACGCAGTGGCAACTTGCTTGGTGTGATATCTACATTTTTGCTAACTCGTTGATAAATACGTTCTTAATCAGTTTTAACCCATTTACAATTAGTTCTACCTCGTTCTCAATACGTCCTCAGACAGTTCAACTCGTTGTAAAAACGTCCCTAGTAGGATTGAAGTACGACGGTTCCGTTCGTAGTACGTCCAGCTCGTCGTTAGTAGGTTGTCACTCGTTCTAATTGTATAACGTGACGACCAAGAGAACATTTTGAGCATGTTCTAAGTTCTAGAGGACCTACCCGTTCGAGTACGTTCGATGAAGTTTGTAAATAGACCCCAAACGGTTCTATTCTAAGTACGTCCAGTCCGTTCGTACACAGTCGAAGCCCGTTTTCGAGAACGTAGTGAGAACTAGTTTGGTGTGATAGAAGGGTACAGTAAAATATCTACGATCGCCTTACGATCTCCGCATGACGTATCTATTTTTACAGACCGTAGAGTCGCTGGAGTTATAACTTTTTCATGTTCCACGGTGGTCGTACGTAGTACGTCGAGCGCATGGTCGATTTGCGGCTGCCGTGGGATTTTATGGGATACATAATCGTATGATCGCTATAGGGGCCTACTGTTGCCGCCTAGCGTCTGCCTTGGTATTTGTCAAAAAGTACGCCCGTCGTAGGCCGTGGTACGTGGTAGCCATGCTCAACATTTAAAAGGCCGTACCGCAACCGTAGTTTATTGTCTCAAAATCAAAATGCATCATGAGGATACCGTAGAAATGTGACTGCTAAAATATCTGACCGTAAGATCACCGTAGAAAATGTTTTAATGAATCAATATTACAACCCAAACACACAAGACCATGGCATATTTCAATCATTCTGAAACTTATACAAATACATGACGTATACATTTATAAAGATTATCCTATATGAGTTTCGGAATCTTGGGATTATCCCAAAGTTAATATGATTCATCTGTCCTCGGGCTACAGGGTTTAAATTTCGATAATTTCATCTCTAACAGTGCTAAAGTTAAATTGTAAAATAACATACTTTGTCATAATCTATTCAAAAGCCATTGAAAATATTTATCACATATACATGTGCAATCTTAGTTAAATATTTAAATGCTAACAACTGTATTTTGCACCATCAGAAATCCAACTGATGAACATTGCAAATTAATTGTAATAACTTTTGAAGTTTTGACAACTTTAACTTGCACTTGTTTTCGTATTTGCTTTAAGATGAAACAGATCTGCTGGATTACACTATTGGTAATTATGTAAACAAAATGGCCGACGGATCTTGCCTGATATTGACCAATTGGAGAAATCGTATCAATCAACCTTGGCTGTTTTATAACCACACTGAGGAGTGTTCCGGTGGATCACAAACAATTTGTGAGATGAAAAGACCTGTCACAGGTAGGGGTACAGGGTGTTCCACAAGTATTTACAAGTACAAGGTGTCCCAGTATAAAATGTACCTAGATAAACACTGAATAACTCTTTGAATGGTGAAATAATTTGATGATTATAAACATCTGAAAATTCACCAGGTAACTATAAAGAATACAAGTAACTTTAAAGAATTTGTTATAGTACCACGGCCCATATTCAAATGTTTTACCAAGACAAGCATGGAATCACTCCGCAAATAAAATATACTAAAATAAACACAAAATAACTTTGTGAATGATGAAATAATATTCTCAAAATATGGCCATCTGGTAGACAATTGAATCATCATAAATATCTGGTAGTTTCAGTCCTCAGAGTATGTAGTACTTAGAGAAAAGTTAGCTTAAGTACAATCAGCAATTTCAACAAGTACTGAAGTATCGATCATGATTGGGATAATTTAGCATGTCATCATGTCACCATTGGATTAAGAAATGTCAATCAATATCAAATATCATTTTAGTTTTCTTTTATGTATTGTCTTTAGTACTTTACAACAAGGTATGTTTCATAGTTTCAAGTGAAAATTGACTAAATCAATTATTGTTGTTACCTTTTACTTACAGGATGTCCGCTTACCTTTCGGGACATTGAAATACAAAACAGTTGTTATAAGGTTGAAAGAGGTTGGCGTCCACACGACAGGGCAAACGCCTTGTGTCAGTATCTTCATCCCAATGCCAGGTTAGTAGGCCGTATCCTCTTGGATACTGAATATTTTTGCAATTTCCTATCTAAAAAAATATATGTGTGTAAGACGAGACGAGTTGCTCAATAAAGTGTTCTTGTTATGAGTATTTAAGATGCTGTTTGCAACATTTCGATCCTCGTTTGTGGAAAGATTAAAAAGGAATTGAATATAGCAAAGTTTGCCCTATCAAAACTCAAATACGTACAACCCTTTATCACTAGCCATTGTGCAGTTACAATGCTGCCAATTTGTCGGAGTCGTGCAAGATTAAGAAAATATGAGACATGTAACTTACAGAAAAATGTAACTTATTGAAATTGATGACTTTCAGATTGGTCCACGTGAGCACGCAAGCTGAGATGTACGCATTGGGAAACGAATTATCCATGTCAAAACAGACTAGATGTGGCGGCACCGCTGAATTTACGCAGGGCCTTGTGGAACCACCAGATGCATAGAAGTACTAAAAAACCAAGTCTTCATTGCTAGAAAGCACGATTACCAATAGTATGATGGAAACTGTTTTTACAATACCAATACCATATCAATTAAGTTGATTAAGTACTGATGCCGTTGTCAAACTGTCGTGTCAGTTCAAAAAGCATAACATAGACTCATGTAAAAATGGAATAGTGAAAAACTGACTTGAGATGCACGCTGTGTCGTAAAGGGCAAACTGAGAAAATAGAACATTTATTGTTCAACTTCAACGGCTGCAAAAGGACTGAACACTGGACAATGCGCTACTATATCTAGTACTGTAGTTTTAAGCTATGCATTGTGCTCTGACTGTGCGTGGGTGTATTTAAACTTGAAATAAAGTTTTTTCACAAATTTTGTAATAAATATATACATATTTATTTGACTTTATCATTGTAACGCTTGTTAGATAAATAAACCATATGAGATTTAATATGAATTATCTTATTCTTAATTACCATATCTATTGTAATTAACTTACACAAAAGTCAGGATGATAAGTGTTTTGTGATAGTTATTTGAAATATCCCCAGTAATAATGTACTAATGTGTACAGGGAGTCTTGCTTCAAGCCTCTGTGACCCCACCTCCCCCTCCCTTATACTTGACTAAACACCTCACATAGAGTTGTTGCCATGCCGAGTTACTTGGACTGAACGTCAATGTAACAAAATGGATGAACTTTAATACTGATTACGAGTTTTTTTGTTTTCTCGATTTAAACCTACTTATAAGTCAAGTTGCAGATTATAATTTAGCAATAAGCTAGAAAATAATAGAGTCTAGTTTCTTCGATTTGGAATTAGTTTTGTAAATGAAATTGAAGTTACGCCAATGTAACCAAAGCGGTGGTCTAAATAAATGAATTACAGTTTTATTTAAGAATCTAATTCCGAACTGAGATCATTTCTAAAAACTATATTATACTGTCTAACTTTGTGCCAAATGATAATCCGACGCATAACTTAAACGTAAGTCTAAATCGAGAAAAACAAAAAACTCGTTTCCAGGAAATTTATCCATTTTGTTACATAACTAGTTGTGGAACAGTGATGGCTGTGAATCGTGAAAGACGGATATCTAGCCTTGCGTATTTATTAATAGTCTCAGTCGATTGCAATTGTCTTCCTGTATTGAGACCATATACTTCTCTTGCTAGAAGTTACATATGTTCTCGAGAGTTTTTAGAAATCCGTATTAATGTTCTAAATACGTATTGAAATATCCTTATTTTTCCATTTGAGTTTCGAGTCTAAATAATCAATTTGGAAAATTGGTAAAATGTGAACGTTTTTACAATTTTTACATCGTCACATAACATTAGCCCTATTTTCTATCCCCTCGGTAAGTTTGGCAACCTTAGCCCCCCCCCCCCCTCCCCCCATTGAACGACATGTTAAAGCCTCTTTACGTTGGAGTTTTTATTTACTTGGCAATAAAGTATGTTCATCGCAGGTTAGGTATATAGAAATTCAAAGGTAAAGAGGCCTTAACACGTAGTTCAATGGGGGAGCTTAGGTTGCCAAACTTATGGAGGGGAGTGTATATGTACAATAATTATACATTTAGCATCCCATTGTTATGCGCGTCAGAAAGTCTGTTAGCTAACAATCACAAAATACAAAATCGATTGTGCGGAATGGTATTTGATCTTAAATTGTGATTTGCCGCATGTTGTTGTTTATTGAAAATACAATAAAATACAATTGATTAAAATGTCGGGCTTATTTCCTTGAAGACCTTATTGAGAGTTGTTGAGACTTTCTGGTGATTGGATTTTTACTTAGTCCCTCTAAAACTTGTTCGGTATCATTATGAAGTACTAAATACTAATTCCAACATTAACAAGTCTACGTTCTTGAATTCAAGTACAAAAAGTTCAGATATGACGAAAATCAAAATTGGTTGTACTAAACACATGTAAATAATTATTATCTTAAAAATGTTATTCTATATACATATACGAAGCGTACTCAATAACTTTTGTTCTTCCGACAACTTACCATGTGGTATTCTATTACGGATATGAAGTGTCAACTATATAACATAATTAATAAATATTTGAACATTGACATTTAATCCTTTAATTAATTGACAGCCTTTACAAACTTACCAGATGTTTAATGATTTCAATTAATAAACTGAAATAAATTTCAATTAATTTTCAAAAACTAATTGCACGCAACGGAATGTTAAAATTATATGTATATAAAAGTACATTTGAATGGGAAATTAAGTGCAGTTACTTAATCATGGAGAGTTTTATGAACTCTGGCTGTTAATGAAAAAGTGAAATAATGCCACAAAAAGTAATAATTACATATTGCGGGTACTTGAACGTTTTTTTCACATGCACCCTTCAGTAAAATGTTATGTATAATAAGGAGGAAATAAAATGATGAAGCGAGCAAAAGAGTCCGTAGTTAAATAAGCATTTAATTTGGCTGTTCGTTTCCAGTCACGTTTTAAGCGAGGAAGTTCAGGAAATCTAGACCAAACCAACATTTACATTTCACATATAGACCTCCGAAACTAGAGACATTGTCGAAATGCAAATTCTTTTGACCTCATGTGACAGGGCACTGGTGCTATAGAATAAACTATTTCTTATTTTAATAATTTGCAGTTTTATTTGTTCGTAAGAGACTTTAAAAGTATAATGCAATATTATTGGAATATGCCGCTTTTTAATTTTTCATAATACGCTAATTTAATATTTTGGGGACTTTAACCTCCCGCAATGCAATGACGCATTGGTGGACGAATGACGAAGCTCCGCCCCAACAACTTGAAATGGATTGGCGCTCAACGAATGGCAAGGCTCTGCTTCAATAGCTTAGGGTTATATTCATGATGAAGACTACCTGCAAAGAAATGACGCAAATGTGCGTTGAGATATTCTATATAATTCCTAATCTTCCTGAAATCGTTCAATCTAAATCTTGACCGGCAACAAGATGACATCTCTCAAGGTTTTCGGAGGCGCGCTAGCTTTGCTGGTAAGTAAAGAATACTTTATTCTTATGATATTTTCTAATCTTTAAGTTTGACGAAGTCAACATTGTCTTTGGAGCTGATTTTGAACATATTTAAAATAACATTTTGCATTTTAAGTTGCTTGCATTTATGCAAGTGAATGCAAAATCCAGTTTGGATGTTTCGACAGAAGAATTGTACATCCACATTAATAATTTGCAAGCTAATAAGCCCATGGATGTTTACAGAAAATTAATATAAAATAGAATTTATATAAGATAGTTACAGGTTCAAAAATTAATTAAAAAGATCCATGATATCTCAAGACATGACATCTTAGCGGCCGAAGAAAATCTGCAGTCGCTAAGGGTCGATTCCTGGCATATAGTATAGTCTAGTAGGATCGACGTGGAATTATCACACGGACTCTAAAACACGTTTTATCTCTACGTTCGCCGTAGATAATAGCCGTGCCGTATTAAGTCAGAATGGCCGCAAGATCACCACGCGATCTACATTATTAACGATCGCCGAACAAACTCAAATTAGCCGATAAACAGTGGCTCAAAATTAGCGCACAGCCTCGTAACAACACCATATAAGGGATTGTCAAAAGGACAATTGTATTAACTATTTGTGCAACAAATTATTTGTTGTGTATGAATGACTTTTTGTTAATTGCCAATGTTTCAAGTTTTTTAAAAAATCATCTTTTATTTCTATTTAACGGTGGTCTTATATATTTCATTGTTGATTTATCAAGACTTTGATTATAAATACAAATGGAAAAATCGTGTACTTGATTTTGATTTAAAATAAAAAAGTTTCAAAACACGCCATGGTATTTTAACTCAGGTATATCACCCTACTAAATGTCTGTGGTCTTTACTTATAGGTTGTATTTATGCTGGCCGATCCGAGTCAACAGGCAGGTACGTAAATACAAACTTGATAAATTTACAGACAAAAGTGTCCAACAGTTCCCTCTTTACTTTATATATTTCAATAAATTCTTAAAAACTGAAGTATAATCAAAGCAGCATTGTGAAATTAATATAAGTGTTCCACGAAAGTATTGTTACTGCTTAACATATTTTTCTCTGAAATGAAATGTAAAAATAAGAATAGATAAGTAAAATCTTTCAAACAGCTACCTATACTTGATATCTTTCAATTTACTTTATTGCCAAAAATAAAAAATGGTGGGTAGATGGTATAACAGATGCAAATGGAGAACAACTTGACGACAATATTCTTGAAAATAATTTTGACCAGCTTATTCATGAACCAACTAGGATAACAAGAAAGTAAATTGTAAGTTAAGTATCCGGGGAGAGGGGGGGGATGAGGCACAATTTTCCTAACCATTACGGACTTGGTGCAAAATAGAGGAAATAGTACTTTCATACTTAGGGGGTAATTTGCTATTTTGAATTTATATTTAAGTCATATCTTGATGAAAAAGTATAAACGACCAGGGACGTTAAGATTTTCATCAGCGAGTTGATATCGATATTAACAGTAGTACGAGTTGACGAATTGATTTATCACAAATACATATTGGATTCACCTTCATAATATTATATCAAGCAGACATGTGTATCTGACTTTAATTGAGCGGAAATCATTCTACTTCCAGTTGTCAGCTACACTGTAGGCGACTTCTCTTCAAGCTTGATGCCCGACGGAAAATGTGGCATAATCACGAATTGGCGCAATAGGACCAACTTCCCAAACCACTTTTATAGTTTCACCGAGGATTGCGCCAGTTCTTCTCAGACGATATGTGAGATGAAAGTACCTCTTTCGGGTATGTCGACTATCGTGTTAATTTGAAACTTAGGACCAAATCATATGCTATATCATAAGATTAATGTGAAATGTTATTCCTCCTTGGTGGGAATCGAACCCACGTCTCTCTGATCAGATCTCTAGTGTCTACTATAATACTATCGAAAAAATAAAATCAATCGAGCTAGCTGTGTCATGTTCTAAAAGCTTGGGCTTAATTTTTATTTGATTAAATGAGATAATTGGTGTTGTCGCTGTCGCCGTATTGTAAACTAGCGACTAATTCTTTGTTTATTCCAATTTAGGATCATGCCCTTTAAATTTCAATGACTTGTTGTATGATGGCAGTTGCTACAAAATGAAAGTAGGCTGGCGCAAGCACGACTACTCCAACGGGTTGTGCCGTCACCTCAATCCCGATGGAAGGTAGGTTGGACATTAGCATCTCTGAGCCCATTTCTGGGATTTAAAAGGACTTCACTGGAGTCGATAGCTTGTATTTATAAGTGTGTGTATTGTTAAGCCAGTTTCATTTGAAATAAAAAAATTCCTTGCGATATAAATCAAAGTTTCTATATAATCTATACATCCAAGAGGGGGGGGGTAGCACAGAATTCAAGTTTGACCCTATCATCGTTTATCCACGTGGATCTTTCACAGACATTATTTGAAAGCCGTGTGTTCTGTTGTTCGGAATATAGAATTTTGGTTTGTTTGTTTGTTTGTATGTGCGTTTATTTGTTTGTTGGTTTGTTTGTATTTGTCTACATTACTATAGAATTTCACAATCTAAGATAACAACTATTATTTAATGTCGTTTAAATCACATGTGTAATACATATTTATTTTATGAAATCATTCTTAGTTCACATTGAATCGAAGGTCAGTTTTTATTTGGAGATCACCCTTTAATCGTTCTTAAAGAGAGAATCAGATCTAACAAGCAGGCCAACAAAAATTGTTCCAATTTAAGAATATTTCATGTCATTCCTTGTCATGTTTATTTTAGAATACCCAAAGTGCACACTTTATTTGAGTAAAACTAAAGATTTTTATAATTATTTTTCCTATCATTTGGGAGAATTTAAACATTTTTCACCCAATTTCGAACTTTGAATCCATGATAACTTTCTAAATTTATAATCGTGGATCTTTTTGGGGACATTGTATTTGGGATTGTAAGGAATAGATTGGCAGGTCAATTGTATACATGTTGCTTGCAAAGTCACCACTATAGATCTGATTCTGCCTTTAATTGTTCTTCGTTTTCGATATGTGTAGAATTATAGGAATTCATATTGCTTTTTATTTCCAGACTGCTTTGCATAAGTTCTCAAGCAGAGTTTGATGCAGTCGGCATATGGATAGCAAAGTCCGGAAAAACTACATGCGGTTTAACGGCCGAATTTACCCAGGGAAACACCGAGCCCCCGGCACCAGCGAAATAGACGGATTGATGTAAAGATCGAATTCGACATAACCGTAGTTTGATTCACAACGAAATTCCAATTAAAGTGCACAAAGGACATATGATAAAACATTTTTCCTTTTTAATATCCTATTCGCTAAATTGAAAATGATTGATGAAATCAAGACAAGAAAAGACACTAGCCTAGTATAAGAAAGAAAAGAAAAAACACATAACGTGATTCTACCTTAAGTAATTTTCTTAACCTGGTTCACATTTGCTGAATTGCTACATTTTATTTTACTGCATTGCACAGTCGTATTGGAATCATAAAGTTAAATGATAGAATAAAATTGCACGTTGACACAAAACTATTGTTTCTTTTTATCATAAGTTCGTAGACACGGATCGTATGGAAATCCTTAGTTTTGCTCCAAGACTGTGGACCCCCCACCCCCTTATCTACCTCTCCGACACATTACCTGATGAAAAGAAGAAGAGGGGGGAGAGTCCAGAGTCTTGAAGCAAGGCTAGGAAATGCTTTCATTTATCTTAATTAGCCTTTCCTTAATTAGCCAAGGTCATATAGATATTTTACATTTCCAAGAGCAACCATATTCATTTTTACCAAAAATGTACATATGCCATCCCTTAGAATTCCCATTTAACGTATATATCGGGATTTTAAATCGTAATGTGAACAGTGAGGCAACCAGGGAGGAAAATATTAAAACAATTAATTTCATTTCAAGTTTTTTCAGACATAAAGTAAAGGAGGGCCTAATTACAAAAATGTTTTCTGCTTTTCCATAGGATATATGGGACCTAACCTACTTTCTCGGAAATTAGGTCAAATTTCATTTTTTTCAAATTTCAATTTTTTTCAAATTCCAAATTTCAATCAACGGTCACAAATCTTAAGTTCCTCTAAGTATTTCCAACTAGTCCCACATTCTATGTCTCAATATAAATCTTACAAATTTTGAGAAAGGATAGGTATCATTGTGGGATCCACAGCCTTTACTATCCTTTTGGAATAGTTCAGACTGTGGGTTACTGACTGTAATAAATGTTTCCTTTAACCCTAAAATGTACGGACCAATCAAATTATTTACAGAGTTCTATTGACCATGAGTATCATGGGAAGGCATTACCTGCAGTTGCATGATTACATAAGCAGACAAAGCCTAATGAGTGTGACCAAACACAATGCCCTCCTAAATAATCTAAGTGTCGACATTTGTATGATAATTATTGTTTAAAATTCTAAATTGGAAAACAATAAGAAAAAAGAAGTATGTCAACATTATCATAGTAATTAATTTTCAATATAAAAACAAGAACCATCAAGATAAATAAAAGTTTTCCACATAATGAATTCATTGAATTAAAGTTTACAAAGGGGTAAACAGGACAGTGCATTCTTAGGTACTAATTTATTCCTCCATATACACTGATTTACTTGGAGAATGCACTGGCTAGGAACATGTTCTGCCTCATGATATATCAGAGTCTCTCAAAAACGTTAGGTAAAGAGGGACTCTGATAAATCAGAATGGATAGGTATCGATATGGTGAATTGATCAATTAAACAAGGTTCTTCTCATAAACATATAATTGAAATCATTCTGTAATAAAACACGGTCCTTTATGTAATGTTGACTGATTGACAACAATTTAATGCGAAAATTATTTATATATGTTTTATATAACTGTTTTTGTTAACATTTTTTTTTGTTATTAGTGCAATTGATTTTTGTTCCAAATTTGTTAAGTTTTCTTGCAGAAATTGCCTAACCCCCCCCCCCCCTCCATCCATTTTGTACGATCACCGGGCGTGAAGTTGAATGTTGATTCCAAAAGTTTCGTGCAAACTTATAAAGCTATCATTGTAAACAACCACAGATAAATGCTCTAACAACTGCGATATTAGGGTGAATTTTAAAGAAAACAACTTCACTTAGTCATTCTAAGTGAAGCCATTTTCTTTCAAATTCTCTAATATTGCGGGTGTTTGGGCATTTATTTGTGTTTTTTACAATCGTAGTTTTATTAGTCTGTACATGTTTGGAATCAAGATTCAGCTTAGTTTAGCTGAAATCGGAGGTTTGTCGAAGACGAAAGAATTTCGGAAACCACCTTGAATGACGCTAACTGCAGTTAGAGTCATCCAGTTGTGGAACAGTGTTCGAGTGTCAAGGTACCACACCACTATTCAATATTTTGTTTTAACATTTGTTTTACTTGGTAAGAATAGTACAATATCAGATGTCAAAACCGTTTTTTAAATAATAAAAAGTCTGGAATTTGGGCTCTTGGCACTGATGTGAATTGAACTTACCCATCTAGTTATAATTGTTTTATTACACTAAAATAAAATAAAGATAAACAATACATGTAGATAAAGGCGCACCAATCACCATGTGGCATAGCAGGTTACTTTAAAACTTTACCTTGGATGAAGATTTTCATGTGACTGTACGAATCAAAAAATTTAAAAACAAGTAAAATAGTTGTCCAATATTTTAAATACAATATCAACAGATTCTATAGAACACGGAAAATCCAGACACTGTGGGCAAATAAATATTCACACGAGTGATACTCCAAATAGATACTCTAACTGGATGTCCCTTTTTGATAGCGTGTAAAACCTGAATCTTTGAATCCTCATCTGCAAGATTCTGTATTTTGAAGAAAAGTTTGGTATCATACCAAACCAGCGTTAAACTAAAAATATTTGAACAATTTTATAAGAAATTTATGCTATTGGATGTTCACTGTTCATTAGGAGGAGTTCATATTTCAAATTTTTAAAATGGAAGTCAATTGGAGGAAAAGTGTTCAGATTGGAAGGCGTTCCGATATACAGGTTTTTGTTGGTACCTCAATTGAAATAATCAATTCTGATTGGTTGATTAGAGGTCAACAATAAAATGTTGACCGTACTGTTAACCTCTCTATTCGGTCAACTGGCAAAAGTGTATACCTCAACTGTAAACCTTGAAAGTACTGTAGACCTCGACCTCCAGTCTCAGTCAACAGTACTTTCAAGGTTTACAGTATCGGTATACAATTTTGCCAGTTGACATCAAGAGAGGTGTACAATTGTATACTGTATAAGCCAGAGTTATTTAAACTTTACATGGAGCCCTTAAAAGTTATCTTTTCAAAAGCATGCCAATGAATCCCTTACACTTCTTCTATTATCAGAAAATTGTGATGAATGATTTTTTTAATAATGTCTTTCCGAGGGGGCTTGAGCGCCGGCACTGTCGAGCTAGGCAATAGGGCACTGTAACCACGGAGTTGCGAGTTCGAGACGCATGTGCTCCTTGTGTTTATTCATTTCAGCAGCTAACAAAAACTCATTCAAATTCTGAACACAACAGACATAGTAAATGAAAGCGTTAAACAATAACAAGGCATTTGCATGACGAAATGTCATCACCTTGTAAGTTATTGCAAATTGTTAGACGCCAAACACCGACCACCAAACACCATTAAAAAAAGTTGGAAACCGTAACATTTATGTTACCACTTTTGGTAAAACATAAAACAATTGTGTTACCACTTTTGGTGGTGACATAACGAAATCACTAACAAGTTAATTTTTTGTAAATATAATGTTTCGTTTATTCAATATCAAATGTTTTTTGACTGTACATGTGTTCTTTTTCCTATATTGTCATCCAGTTTTAAAATTTGAGTACAAGGAGGACTGGCATACTCAAATACAAATTAGAAAATGACAAGGAAGACTGAGGAAGCCATGTATTGATGAACAAAGATATGTTGCAAGATGGTTAAGCTTGTAAAGCTTCTATCTTCAAAATTCATATTATTTGTAGTGGTAAACATCACTAACCAGCAGTTAACAGTCATAATAGTCAATATTGTTAACTTTAAGTGAACCAATCAAAACTTAGTTTTTAACTGAAGTATTGAAAAATTGTTCATGCTTCTGGGAATTATGGGTGCCAATCCTCCCCAAGGTATGCCTAAATCTACATAATTATTTGACGATGTTATATGAAAGAAAAAGGTGTAAAATAAACCAAAATTCAAATGTGAACATCATAAATATAAGATTGAACATTTTTTATTTTGTATCTTGAACATTCTTGAACCAAACCTTTCTGACACATTTTTTTTTCATTTTGAAACACATTTAGTGAATATTTCTGGCAAAACACATGCAGCCAACCACTGAACATTAACTTAACAATTATTTATCAATAAAATATTGTTGATGATGAACAGCAATATACCCACTGGAGGATGAATACTGATTTGAATTATTGCTTTGAATTTGCATATTTTCTGCTACTTTTAGGCCAACACGAGTTGACATTTAGGCCAGTACAATTTATGTATCTGCTACTTGAAGGCCAACACGAGTTGGCATTTAGGCCAGTAAAATTTATGTATCTGCTACTTGAAGGCCAACACGAGTTGGCATTTAGGCCAGTACAATTTATGTATCTGCTACTTGAAGGCCAACACGAGTTGGCATTAAGGCCAGTACAATTTATGTATCTGCTACTTGTAGGCCAACACAAGGTGACATTTAGGCCAGTACAATTTATGTATCTGCTACTTTAAGGCCAACACGAGTTGGCATTTAGGCCAGTACAATTTATGTATCTGCTACTTGAAGGCCAAAATGAGTTGGCATTTAGGCCAGTACAATTTATGTATCTGCTACTTGAAGGCCAACACGAGTTGGCATTTAGGCCAGTACAATTTATGTATCTGCTACTTGTAGGCCAACATAAGGTGGTGTTTAGGCCAGTACAATTTATGTATCTATGTAAGCCAACCTTACTGTCCACTCAACTACTCATTCAATTCCATTTGCAAGGCTAAACATGAGACAAATATTTTCCACAGTTTGAGCTGCTAGTATCTGGTCTTTTATTATACTGTCATTTGTAACAGATAATAACTTGTATTGTTCTTTAAGATCTTAAAGTAGCAAAATTGGGTTTGTGAGATGAACCAATAATGTATCCATTTGAGAATGTCATGAATTGGGCTAAGTGTGACTTTTTCATAATGTTTACTTCAAAATTCAATGTTTTATCTACAGTACAGCACTCGTCTTGCTTCAAGACTGTGGACTCCCCTCCTCCATATCTACTTCATCAACACAACACAACACATGGGAGCATGTGTAGTGGGGGGGGGATACCCACAGGTCCCACAAGGGCTAGTAGCTAGACTAATATGAAACAAAATGGGTTTAGTCTTAAAGTCAGTAGTTCAAAAATTGAGTTGAATACCATATCATATGGAAGGAAGATATATTTGTTATCATTTTAGTATGAAATTGGTTTGCTGAAACAATTTGCTTTCAAATATTACAGATAATAAAACATGATTTTCTCTGTTATCCCAACGATTTTACCTCAAATGAATCCATTCAAAGGTCCATTCATCTTGCATATATTTAGAGACATGGCAAATGCTTAAAGTGAAACTGTATAAAAGATAAAGAAAATGTATAAAATATATATATGAATTCATGAGATTAACATTATTATACAAGTATAAGTATCTTACAGATAACACTTTCTTAGAGTAATGATGGGTATACATTATAAACAGAATATATTTATTTTAACAATTTCAGCTACGCTTGCCTTGCTTTCTTCATATTTTTCTTTGCATTTCGTCCTTGAGATAATCTATCGGTCTGAAAACTGAGTTTCTCGAAATCATTTGTCTTTTTAACCCAAATATCCATAGGCGACTATTTCAAACGTGTTGCATCCACATGAATACAAATTTAGTTGTTATGGAAACCATATGCAAATTGAGTCAGTTGCTATGGTCATTAAGTGTTTTTATTCAGCTGCTATGACAACCTATGCACTCGCGGCTTGCTTTTCTTGTTCAATCACTGAAAATAGAAAACACAGTTAAACAGAATTCTGAACTAAAATATTAACAAATAATACACACAGTGAAAAATGTTGCACTTTGAAGAGCACAATGGTTGCCACATAAAATAAAATTACCAGATAAAATTAAAGTATACTTTTTTGGGTAGTGTAGTGAGAACAGTTTTTGTTATGGTTGCCATAAAGTTTAGTCAGTGTGTCCAAAACCTAATGAGATGTTCACACTAGCGTTCTCTTGCATTTGTAGATATTTTCAAGTTGAACAAATAAGTGTTTTTCTGAAATTTTAATGACACGATTTTTGTGGCACCCACCCATGCACATCCAGATTATGACAACAAAGTACATTGTACTTTCAGAGAATGTATGTAAATTAGGATGAGACGTTTCATCAAAATAATTGTAGAGTTAAAAAAATTCAAATATTTGGCTTTTTCTCATGAATCACTACTCACCATCTTTTGTTGGTAAAGGATTTTTCTCCTGTACTTCCTGATGTTTTAGACCCATTTTATCAAATTTTTCTACACCGGACAGGAGAGCTTGTTCCGTTTTCTCCTTTTTTAAAGCTAAAAAATAAAAGCAATTCAGAGTTTAAGATTAATTCAACCCCAAACTCATTTCAGGGATAATATCTTAAAGTACTAGAGGACTACAACCCAAGGGGTTTAAAGGAGCATTTCATCCTAAAATTCTCTGTCTTGATTGATTTTGTAAATATGAAACATTGTTTAACATTATCTGGAACTTAAGTTCAGAATCCCTTATGTTCATTGTTTTTTAACTATGACATCATCATATCTATGGGTACGACAATTGATTTAGGAATTCTTAACTTGACAGATTTCTTTTACTGACCCCCCTGGTCAAATAAAATAGTAGGATGGAATATTCCTTTAAAAGGGTATGCTACATAGTCATACACTACACTTATCTAACCAAGCATCTAATAAAAGTTCATTCTGAAAACAGAGGCTCTATGTTAAGGTATACTCAAACAATGACTTTCACAAGTGAGACAAAATATTGATTTTTGAATATATTTTTTATTAACTCCCCCTTGCCAAAATTGTTTCACATCATTACCAATCATTTGGAAAATATAAGAGCTAAGGTCCACAAATTGAGATTTTCTGAGCCTCAGTTTTCTTTAGCATGCAAATTATCAGCAATCATTTTGTGATTTTTCTGTCTACTAAAGGCATGATTTTTATCTTTATCTGAAGGCACGTTCCTCATATTATAATAGAAATGTTCACTCAAGCATATAGGTTTATTATCAAGATGCAATGTTTTTTCAGCCAATAGCCACATTATAGAACCAATGAGCCCAAATGCACTTGTACCCATGAGGCAATTTCTACCCAGTATGCCATTGTACAGATTCTGTAGTTTCTACCCAGAATTCACTTCTACCCATGATGCACTTCTTCCCAGACAGAATGCCTTACCTTCCTGGTTTGGCAGGATGATCTTAACATTGCAGTCAATGCGCTGTAGCTTGGCATGATTAAAGCTGCTAATGCTATGCAGGTGATCTGAATGACGCTTCACCGCCACCAAAGCTATAGTAGTATAGAGATGAGGCAAGCAGAACAGTATGAGTCATTTTCTTACCCATAATGCAACTGAATCAGCAGATGACATTTTAGGTGAGAAAATTATTACCCATAATGCACAAGAATAATACAGTTGAGCACACAGCTTCAGTAAATGGCTTTACAGAGATGTTCCATTTCATTTCTTTACATAAGCTGAGCTGTATACTCAACTGACTAGCCCAATATCAAAGCTGACATTTCCAAAGGATTAACTTCATTATATTATGAATCAGATACTTAAGTTAAGATAAGTTAGTTACAACATAATATTCCTCAAATGAGCTAATTTCTTTATTTTCTGAAACTTGGCCACAAGAAAATTTATTAATCTTAGTCAGTTTTGATGAGGACTGGTTATATAGAATCAATGCTTAACACCTCCCAAAATGAATTGCATATCAGAGTGGCTAGAGATCTATCATACATCAGTAGTAAGCAACAAATAAGACAGCTTCTTTATAGTAACACATATTTCTGGGCTTTCTGATGTAATATCAATTGCCATGAATTCTGGTTCCATTTGGATAATTTTATTCAATTCAGATGGTGTTAAGAATTTGCATTGACGGACAAGATAGGGGTGAACTAAGACAGCTACACATAGACAGCACTGTGACAGAGGATCTTGTACATTAAAGGCAGAATCTGATCTATAGGGGATGACAAAATTACAAGCAACATGAATAATTGACCTACCAATCTATTTCTTACAATATCAATATAATATCTCCCAAAAAATTCACAACATATTATAAAGTTATTAATGATTCAAAGTGCAAAAATGAGTGAAAATGTTTAAATTCTCCCAAATCTTTAGTTTTCCTGGAATAAAGTATGCACTTTTGTGATTTTTAGAAAATAGACATGACAAGGAATGATATGAGCCAAAAATATTCTAAAACTGAAACAATTTTTTGTTTAGCCTGCTCGCTATATCTGATTCTCTCTTTAAATTACCCTTGAGTATATATACAGTAGGTCTATTGGATGGTCAAAATATAGTGTTAGTGGAAATCATGAATAACATGTCTTTGTTTGATGATTACTTAAGGAACAAAGTCTGAGATTTTATGAGGTTAAAATGTATTATTTTTTTGTATTTTCACATTTATTGATACTTTTCTTTTTGTATATTTAACCATTAAGCTTTATCAGAATAGAACTTTTTAAAGTTTATAAAAACGCTCAGATTGCAACAAAAAATGTGTTTGGAAAACATTTCTTGGGGGAGCATACCCCTGGACCCGCCAAGATCAGACATCATCAAGTGGGCGTACCAACTCAAAATATAGCCCTATACCCATGCTTTCTATACAAATTATGCTCCTCTAAGACTACAGAAATGCTTCAACTCTTTTGAGACTCATTCATCCTACTGGTAACTGCAGGACATTGAATAGTTGACTTTTATACACAAATTATGCTGAATAGTTTTTTTGTTGTATTTATTTTTTTGTTGTATTTATAGATGTCAGGCTATGTCTAACCCCATGGATTATGTTTGTACCAGACAAAACTAAAACATAAACAGGAATGATATTTTGTGACTTTTTCATAAAATAAACCAATGTTTTCTGCAATATTATTTGAAATAAAGAATAAGAGATTTAATTAAAAATGGCTGCTGCTAGAACTTGAACTCTCATATGTATAAGAGCTACGGAGGACAATTTTGATCTAATATTCAATGATTCGGACATTGAAAACGATACTTGATGAAAGGAGGTGAAAATGATGATCTAATTTGAATTTTTTTGATGATATAATTTTATTTTTCTAATTGATATCATGGTCAATGATGTAATTGCGAGTCTATTTGATGGAATATGTAAGTTTTGATGGTTACACATGGTAGAACAAAATATTGACATGTACTAAAAATCTCATTTGATCACTAGTTAAAAAGTAATGAATGTTTAAAAATATTTGGTCAAAATTAGTCAATTTTCAGGAAATTAATTACAGATTCTAGCAATGTAGAAAATTTGCTAATTACCGGCTAAAAAAGTTAAATGTCATTTTTGTTGTGTTTCTGTGTAACCTTGTGGTAAACTACATGTACTAACTAGGAATCATTTTTCCAACTTAAATTTTGAATCTAAAGGAAAGCAGAGAGGGAAGACTTTTGTACCTGTTTTTGGTACATGATGACATTGTTGGCCGGCGGAGATACATAAACTAAACTGGTTTATTGTAAATTTAATTATGGGCAGTTATACACCCCCTGGGGTGTCATAGCCCGTATAATGTTGTAAATTTTGTAATGAAAACTGAAATCAATTATTTTGAAATTGAAAAAAAAAATGTGTGGTGTTCACGTTAACATTCAGTTTAGGTGATCTTTGAAAGTGGAAATTAGAAGATAGATATAAATGTGATTCAAACCAAAATTTTAAGACAGGTAGCTGATCACATCAAACCTGATTGTTTTTAACAGTGAAAAAACATGTTAAAGTGTACAACAGTCAAAATACAAGAAAACAAAATATATTGTGAAAATCTTCCACCATCAGAAATAAATATACAGATTAACTTACTTTCTGGATCAGGAAGAGGATTTTTCTCCTGAGTTTCAGTGTGACTCAGTCTTTTTGTTTTATCAAAGGCTTCTACTTCATGCACCATCTTGGACTGTTGTAGACCTGAAACACAATATTACCCATAATACAACTGAATCAGCAGACGTTAAAGGTGAGAATATTTCCCATAATGCATTTGAATCAGCATAGACATTTCAATAAAGAAATTAATTTCCCATAATACAACTAAAACAGTTGTTAGGATAATATGTGAGAAAAATATTTCCCATAATACAACTGAATCAGCAGACACAATTTAATTGAGAATTGAATTTCCCTAATACAACTACAAAGTTGTAAGAATAATATGAGAGAAGATTTCCCATAATGCAACTGATGCAGCAAACATTTCAATAAAAGATTATTACTGAATCAACATGCATAAATTATTTTAATTGAGAATCGTAATGACTAAAATTTTGATAGTAATTTTTGAGATCTTAATTGGTAATTTTATCAACAATATCATCAATATCTTTACATATTGAACAGGTCATATAAGACATGCACTTCATATTCAATGTCAATCATCCCATGCAAGCATTTTTTTTCATAGTCCAAGGAACATGTATAAAAAAATCTAGTCGAATACACAAAGGAAAGAGCTAATCTCTTGGTGTATTTGACTCGATTTTTATACATGTTCCGGGCCTATGATTTTATAACACGCACAGCAACATTAACAAGAGGCTTATGTACCTCAAACCTTATCATTCTATTAAGCCATAATATATTAAGTTCTACAATTGTTTATCAATGAACATAAAGCATGATAGTTATGTTAACCAATGAAACAGCTGCTGGTTGTTCTGGAAACACTCTGAAATACAAGCTTCTAGTAGTTTTATCAAAATAGAATGAAAACAATAAAATTAAGCCATTAACATGTAAAATTAACATGTAACACCTGCCATTTGTTACAAATGGTGCCCGCCACCCCTCGAAGGCTACCCGCTGAACTCTCTCCACAAATAAGTTGGAATCAATATGTCACTATGTCACAACTTGTGGTAGTGACATAACAATGAAAACCAAGCAAAGTGATAAACACACACTTGTAACTCTCTTTAACCTCTTAACAGTCCAACACACAGCAACAATTATATCCAAGCCCAGAGCAAACGCATTGGTTGAAACAACTAGATCTTATGAGAGAGACCCATCCTTTTTTAAAAACACTCACAAATATTGAAAGTTTGAATTGGGATTCAGGCCAACTGAAGAATTACTAAGCATTCCCCATAAAGTGACTCGGATATAAAAATCAACTTTCAAAGAGTTCTGTCTTTCCCAGTATGATCTGGATATTCATAGTTAAGCCTATTTTCTAAAAATGGCAAAACTCCGTTACTTATTCAAGATGTAAATAGATTGGCATATTCTTGCTTTTATTGTTGCACTTGTTATATTGTCATCAGTCTACGTAAATATAGACATGGAAAAGTATGTTTGTCCGTCATACAGGCAAAGGAGCTCTTTTGACGTCAAAAAAGAATATCTAACATGGCCCTCAATTCTACCATTTTTATGGGGTAATTTCTGTGAGCATTCTTAACTAAGAAATTCATGAGTCTACTGCTGTAGCCATGGTTACCACGAGAAGAATGACCTTGTGAATTTATCACAAAAATGAACATTACATATGATGGTTTGCATATGCAATATGTACATATATATTATTATGAACATATGAATAGCATATACATATAATAATGTACATGTACTATGTTGATAACATAGACATGTATATAATAATGCAAATGTAGATGCTGGAGCATTCATATTAACTGCAACGAAAGACACATAAGTCCAAAACAAAACATGGCCTTATATTAACATTCAAAAGCATTCACCAACAGCACAGAAATTAAGCGCAATGCCACCTGTGTCACATTAGTGACACCAGCCAAATGTGTGACATCGGTCACATTAGTAACACCAGCCAGATGTGTGACATACTCTGTGTATCAGGAAGTGGGTTTTTCTCTTGCGTTTCTGTGTGTCGCATGGTTGTTCTGTTGAAATCTTCAATACCATGAAGCAGCTTAGACTGTGCCAGACCTAACATATACAATAAACATGTACAATAAACAAGTACAATAAACACATACAATAAACATATGAAAATATGTAAATAAACAATACAAAATATCTTGGAGTAATACATGTGCTTAAGGAAAGACAAGCAATACAACTTCAACATTTAACATATAGTCTTGTACATATAGCATCATGCATTTATAACCAGGTTCAACATACTCTTCCCACCTTAATATGAAGCAGGTTTAGTCAAATAGTAAGATGAAGCTAGTTAAGTAAATAGTTATGCATGTAAAGCCCTGTAAAATATGATATTTGGAGACAGCTCAATTCATAGGTTTTTTCTTACTTATTTAAAGGGACAATCCTTGTCAGACAATTAGGAGATGGTCTGACAAGTAATGTCCTTTAAAGGGGGTCTACTGAGCTACTGATCCAGGAATAGGTAGACCCTCCTTTAAACTTAACATACAAGTATCAATTTTCAAAAGATCTCATACAATCCACTTTAAAGCTGATCTGAATTCCAAAGCCCAAAATGGCAGAAATGCCTCTGTGATATGATATGAGATCATTTGAATATTTCATGAGTTACTATAGAAACCTGTTTATCTATTGTTACTATAGAAACCTACTTTCACTATCAGGAAGAGGGTTCTTGACTTCCACATGTGCCTCATGTAGCCTAGTCTTATCAAAACCTTCAATCCCATGCACCATTTCACTGTGGGTTAAACCTAGGGTTAAACGTAACTATAGCAACAAAGGGTTAAATGCTATGTTAAATGGTTATTATTGTAACAGAGATAAAATATGCTTAGAGATATTATAGCTTCATGCAAAAGAAATCTTCAGTAGTATGTCTGCCATTGGAATAAAACATAAGCAAAATGTTACCATGGTTACACAACATCCTATAGACAATTCTGACAAACAAGGGGTTGAAGTTAATATTGTTGCCATGATAAGACAAAAGCAAAATATAAATACCTACTACCTTATATAGAATTAACATGGAAACATTGAGGTAACTATAGAAACACATTTGCAGATATAAAGCTTTATATGTAATTTAAATTAGATAAGGCACACTTCATTATTAACTGACAGAGGTGACACAGATCACTGACAGATGTGACACAGATCACTGACAGAGGTGACATATATTGTTGACAACAGTAAATAACGATATAAAGATACATCACTAACAATGGTGACATAGACAACTGTGACATTATTCAATGACAAATGGTAAAACAGAAACAGACAATGGTGACAGACTACATCCAAAAATGGTGACAGAAATCACAATACTCAACACTAAAGGAAGTTAAAATTCAATTTTATTTCAAATAATTTATCTTATAAAAAATTGTTAAGATCCTAAAGTGGTATCTCCCCTCAAATGTCCATTAGCCTAGTATTGTATTAAAGAAAGCTATTGAAAGTGTATCAGGGGATGTATGTTAGATGTCAGATCATGCTTTGCTACCATATCCCAGAAGTTAATTTGAAAAGGAATCATGCAAACTATAATGTTGACATACTTTCTTGATCAGGTAGTGGATTTTTCTCTTGCGTCTCAGCGTGTTTAAGTTTGCTTTTCTCAAAATTATCGATGCCATGGACCATTTTAGACTGCACCAGGGGGTCATTTTCAGTTGGGGTTTTATGCGCCAATTTTGTTTTATCGAAACCTTTGATACCGATTTCTATTTTTGCTTGGGTAACAGTGTCTTTTTCTGTTGTTTTGGTTGTGTTAAGCTTTGCTTTGTCAAAGCCTTCGACAGCGTGAAGATGTTTGGATTGTTCAAGACCTAATAAGGGAAAATAGAAACAACACGCTACAGTAAAGTAACACCACTACATAGTCAATAGTCAGCCAAGGCCTGTGTTTGATTAGTTGAACTAAGGTTTCTCATTTAAAGGCCCCATATAAAGTTTATTATTGCTAAATTCAGTAGATTTGATTAAGTTTCATAAAAAGTTTCGTAAATTTAGTTTCAAACTTTGCATGGGGACTTAATAACATTAATGGCCTAAAATCATCTAAATCATCACAGGTCTTGGCCTGGTATCATCGTATCTGCCTCCCCAAACCTATCTCTCTCCAGCCTTTATCCTAAGATGAGACTGATGGATGAGATAGTGAAGCGATTTGATGATAGACTATTTTCAACAATTACAACATCTAAATAAAGAATATAAAACTCAATACTAAAAGCACCATTTTGATTCTGCCAGAACTTGAATAAAATTATAAACCAAAGTGAACTCAATTCAAGGTTGGTTTTCTATCGTTCCAGTCGGTCAACCAACCATTTTTATTGAGTTCCTCCAATTCATTAAGTAGAGGCACTGTTCATTTAAATGTAAATGACGATTGTCTATTTTATGGGTATTATTTGGCAATTCTGGCATCTCCAAAATGGAGATAATTATACAAACATATATTCTATTTAGATTTGATAAATAAATTGATCATGACAAACCAATAAAACACTGAAAATCTCGATAACTAAAATTATAGTAAACATTCAGATAGACAACAGAATAGAACTCAGTGCTCAAATAACAAATGTGAAGCTTATCAAATATTTTTCCTTATTTTGAATTCCTGAAAACATGTTATCAATGACATACTTTCTGCATCTGGTAGTGGGTTTTTCTCTTCCGTCTCTGTGTGCTTAAGTTTGTCTTTAGCAAAGCCTTCGACTTCATGAAGATGTTTCACCTGGGCCATACCTATATTAGGCACAAAGAATGTAGCAATTATATTTTTAATTATCACTACCTCTTTTCTAATTATGTCTAAGATAGGGCAATGGGGTGTAACGTCGACATAAGAGACTGGGTAACTTGGACACTTACTTATTAGGAGCAGAATTTCTGTTTTCCGCCATGTTTGATTTCTAGAAAAATTAAAATCTCGTAAGATCTCGATCCATGCGAGAAAAAAACATGGCTTCCCCCTAGATCGGAAATTAGAGCAAATAAACAACAAGGTATTGAAGTTACCCCACATGTCAAAGTTACCCCAAAATGGTGTCAACGTTACACCCCTTCGCCCTATATCATACATTGACTAATTAGTACAGTAACAGAAGGACGACATAATACAAAACAAATTGCTTGCAAATAAAAAAATTTAATTGATTTTACCATGGGCTTTCAACCATAAAAGGGAAGCATGTCATTGCTCATTTTGAAGGTCTCATGTTATTACATAGAGTTGCATACCCTTCTAGTTGAAAGCCCATGATTTTACTCAATATTGTCATAGAAGTTAAACCAATATCCTGGTGAATCATGTCCCAAAAATATATCCAATATTTCTTAATCCAATATTTTAAATACTGTCATCTGAACATGTTAATGAAAATTGAATGGAGCCCCCGGGTAAACAGAGGGAGCTGGGAAAATACCCAAACCCATGAACAACTGTGCAATATGTGAAAATGTGAAACTGAAACACTATCCCATATGCTGCTAGAATGTGAGCCCATTTCGGCAGCATAAACTACCATATCTGGCATAATGAGAGAATGTGGACTGGATGACATTCCTATATAAACCAGAAGAAAGAGGGTCAGCTCTTAGGTTATGACTTAGTCATTAAGATTCCACAAAGTATCTATCAAGCGTGTATTATGTGACAAAGGAGAATGTAATATAACAGGGAATACAATGAGATTATTCACAGGTAAGGACTGAATATGGATTCAAGGGGACAATTTGATTTTTCCTGAGGGCCTGGTGTTATTCACTGGGAAGTAGTAGTATCATGGGATAATGGAGTTTAACCCAATGCAGTTATCCCTTCTGTGCACAGTGCAACAAATCCAACAAGAGGAGAACTAATGAGGTGCTTACCAAAATACATCATACAGGGATCCTATATCATATAATATATAAAATGTAAAACTAAACTGTTTATGCAAAGTAAATAATAATAAAAATATTGAGATGCAATTATTGTTATATACAGTACCTATGTTTGAACAAAGTATAAATGTCATTATCATACACACCATATTTTATGTTATTGTCAAATCTGAGGGATGACCTAAACATTTATCATATGATCTGTAAAATGAAGCCTTCTGATTGGTCAGTTCTTGTGCTGTACCAATCTGTATTGCTACTGAGATTGTCCCCATCATCATCTCCGTCGCAATACAGAAAATATTGGTACGGAGGGGACATTCTCAGTAGCAATACAGAGGATCACACGATAAAAACGTTATAGAATTATCTGAAGTGCAATACAGGATATATTCTGTCTCGATATTCTGTATTGGCACTCGACTTCGTCTCGTTCCAATACGGAATTTCTCAAGCAGAACATATCCTGTATTGCACTTAAAATCATTCAATAACTTATAGTATAGTTCTAAAATAATTTAAAGCACAATGGGAACGTAATTCAACGCTTTACGTGTACATTACCACCTGAAAAACAAAAAATAGAGAGGAGCAATACACACAAAGGAGATGGCAAGTCCAAATACAGGGTGGCCCAAACGTAGGTTTACAGTTTACAAAGAGATCGATGAATAACTGGAAACCTACTTTTGGCTACCCTCCCAGTACACCCCCAATCCGCACGCTAAAATCACTATACTGTATGGTATGTTAAGAGTATGGTATACGGTACCGTTAGAGTATGGTGTCGCACAGTGTTCACAGTACTGTTAGGTACTGTTTTAGTCCACACATGTGCTTTCAACTAGAATTAAAAGCCCATGGTCCACATAACTGTATGGTGCATTGTTTCACGGTACCAAACGGTACCATTTCCAAAACGGTACCATACGGTATTGTTGCAGATTGGTTGTGTATATGTAAAGAGAATATAGTATAAGCTCACAACAATCAAGATCTGTAATTAAGAGTGTTCTACTGTAAAACATGATCTTACTTTCATCATCTGGAAGTGGGTTCTTCTCTGCTGTTTCAGAATGTTTAAGGGAGGACTTGTCGAACGTATCAATTCCATGGACCATCTTGGACTGTGTCACTGGGCTGTTTTCTGTTGGTGTCTTGTGGGCAAGTTTAGACTTGTCGAAACCTTTAATTCCTAAAATGAGAACGGGAAAGGATTAGCAGAAAAACAGACAATATTTGAAATATGTAAGAAGTGTCAAACAAAGTATAACATTCTTGATAATTAACAGATTAATTTTAAAATTAAAACATAAAAAAAACTTCTGACTTGATTAATGGAATTTAATGACTGCCAAACACTGAACACCAGACACAAACCGCCGAAACATGGTTCACAAAAAAGTTGGAGACTATAACAAAAGTGGTGACACAATAAAATATCTATATTACCAATTTCAATTTTGGCATGTGTACTGGGGTCTTTTTCTGTGGTGTGAGCTTTGTGCATCTTGGATTTATCAAACCCCTCCACAGCATGAAGATGTTTGGCAGCTTCGAGACTTTCGGCATCAGGCAGGGGATTCTTTTCAGCTGTTTCGGCATGTTTCAGCTTTTCTTTAGTGAATCCTTCTACCTCGTGAAGGTGCTTTACTTGAGCCATGCCTAAAACAATGGAATATACACATGTATGATATTACAGAATTAGGTGCTTTACTTGAGCCATGCCTAAAACAATGGAATATACACATGTATGATATTACAGAATTAGGTGCTTTACTTGAGCCATGCCTAAAACAATGGAATATACACATGTATGATATTACAGAATTAGGTGCTTTACTTGAGCCATGCCTAAAACAATGGAATATACACATGTATGATATTACAGAATTAGGTGCTTTACTTGAGCCATGCCTAAAACAATGGAATATACATATGTATGGTATAACAGAACTAATTGCTTTACTTGGTTGCTATAACGATATGTAACCACTAATTTATATACATTATCAAATTTTAAGTTAGCATAGTAAGTTAGCATAACTGGATCAAGCAATTCAAACACTGGAAAATACTTAGACCACTGATTTAAGACAACAACAAAAACACAATTGTTATGGTAACACGTATGACTCACTCTCTTCATCAGGTAGTGGGTTCTTCTCCTCAGTCTTCACCTCTTTAAGTTTGGCCTTATCAAACTCCTCCACATTGTGAGTGAGTTTCATATGTGATACAGGGTCATTCTCAGTTGTGCTGGTGTGTGCCAGTTTCTCCTTGTTGAAGCCCTCAATTCCCAATTTGATTTTGTCAGGAGTGCTTGAGCCTATCTCAGTAGTGGCTGTGTGTTTCAGGTTATCCTTGGAGAAACCCTCAATGCTGTGAATCATCTTAGATTGCTGAAGGCCTAAATAAATAGACAGGAACAGGTTATTTGTGGCCAACATGGGCGTGGTACCCAAAATATGTCACACAACGTTTGAATATTATACAAATATCTTGTTATTTTTTTGTCACATCTAGGACACAACCCAATCAGAGAGTGAGGAATATGACAATGATATGATATTTATTTTTAAACAGCTACCATGTTCAGTAGAGTGAAAAAGTTGCAACTTTACTGATTAGATGACATGTCCAAATACATCCATTATTAAATAAATTGATTCTTTTATATATAAATGACTATTTCATGTTCTTAGAGTTAAAACATTGAACTTTAAATGGGAAATTGATGTCATTTCTCATTTCTGAGAACTGTTGCTATTTTGCTTGTACATTTATACAAAAATTGCCAAAATAGCTGCATTCTGTTTACATAGCAAAGTAGAAAAACAGGCTTGTTTTGTCTATTTGAACAAATAAACAGACACAAAGTCAACGTTCTTAATTACATACTGAATTGCATTATGGGATAGCTAATTATGAACTTACTTTCATCATCGGGTAGCGGATTCTTCTCTTCTGTCTTGGTTTCTGTCAGAGAGTTTCGATTAAAGTTTTTGACTTGATCTTCAAAATTCTGATGCTGTTTTTCAGCCTCCATTGCTGCAAATAAATTATTTATTTGTTTTCTGTACTGTATTGTTATTTGTTTATCATTTATTGTATTGGAAAAGTAAAATAAATTCCTTGAATCTTGCCAAACGAGAATAACTACCAGGATTTTGTCAAGTTTGTGCCTTATAAGAGTTACCTTATAAAAAATAAGCTCACATTTGAGCAATCAAGTCTTAAACTTTGGGAGAAGAGTTTCATAAACCTTCTGTTTGCAGTACTAGAAGATTCCGTATCTATATAGATATGTAAAACAGAACATAGGGCAGAGGCAAATTCCAGAAAGTTCTGTGAATCATCAAAATATCATCTGACAAATGGAGGTAAATGATTGCTATGGTATCAAACACAACAAATAAGCAATCACTAACCCCCTACTCCATATATGAAAACACCCTTTCATCAATACAATACTTTCATTTGAAAATGGTGATTGAAAAATTTGACAAATTCAATATTTTCAAATAAAAATCACTTATTAATATAAAAGATTCACACATCATTTTTGAATAATAACATTTTGTTGACTTCCGACTAAATTTTTCATAATCATGTTTACTCGAGTTTTCTCTTTAACTCGCACCACTAATATCTATCTGATTGCCTCGACGGATAATGGGATGTGTTCCCCATCAATGAAGTCTGCATGATTATCGATGAGTTATATCACTGTATTCAGTTTAATATAATAACATCAGAGAATATAACAATGAGCTCCATTGTTAAACTGATTGCTTTGCCAGACTTGGTAATTTCGTCTGATTACAGCAAACAGGATGTATGTAAAGAGTAAACGCTTAACTTATAAGCTATGTAGTTACATTATTCACTTTGTATATCCATGTTTATAAGGGAACTGCCGAGGCTTCCGGGAGTTTCACTAGAATTTCTCACAACAGGCAAAATAAATGAAAACAACAGGCAAAATTAAAGGATATCATAAATTTAACATGGAAAAGTTAAAAAGTCCCTCAAAACAACAGGCGATTTTGTGAAAACAACTGGTGAAAATCACATGTTGCCTGCTACTAATGAAACCCTTGGCTTCTCTCTCGGGACACAAGGGAGATTCATTAAAAAACATAAGCAACTTAAAACCATGTGTTATATTGTTTTGCTACTTTTGCCCTGAAATGTTGCCTCCTTCAATAAGGAAACAGCAACCCTCATCTAACTAGTATAAGTGTTTTTATTTTTTGAGTTTTTAAAGGTTATATTGTACTGTATTCATTTGTACATTTAGCATTAGTGGCACACTTAGTGTTGTTTACAGGAGATGGTTTTACCGTACCAAGGTTTTTACTGTACAAGAGGGTTTTACTCTACAAGGGGTTTAAGTGTACCAAAGGGTTTTACTCCATCAGGGGTTAAAGTGTACCAAAGGGTTTTACTCCATCAGGGGTTTAAGTGTACCAAAGGGTTTTACTCTACAAGGGGTTTAAATGTACCAAAGGGTTTACTCTACAAGGGGTTTAAATGTACCAAAGGGTTTACTCTACAAGGGGTTTAAATGTACCAAAGGGGTTTACTCTACAAGGGGTTTAAATGTACCAAAGGGTTTTACTCTACAAGGGGTTTAAATGTACCAAAGGGGTTTACTCTACAAGGAGTTTAAATGTACCATAGGGGTTTACTCTACAAGGGGTTTAAATGTACCAAAGGGGTTTACTCTACAAGGGGTTTAAATGTACCAAAGAGGTTTACTCTACAAGGGGTTTAAATGTACCAAAGGGGTTTACTCTACAAGGGGTTTAAATGTACCAAAGGGTTTACTGTACCACTATTTTAGTATACCAGTACCAGGTAAACTCAGGGAGGAAACTAGCTAATATATCAAAGTATCAACATTTCACAGTATTAAGTTACTCATTGGTATACTTCAGCTTTATCTGTTTGAATGCCACTTGAATCAGAACCAACATTTCCACTTTCAATGAACCAGATTTCACCTTTTTTCGATTCTTATAAAAATTCAAATTAATCTTCTGCTCTGGAGAAATCGATATTCGATGAGATCTCTGAATGTAACCAATATATCACTGCATATTCCCTAATGAAAAGAATACAACATTTGGAACAGTACAGAAACAAATGACCAGATTAGCATTGCAAACAAGGGTGTTTTGCATGCGAAGAGCCAGAGATTATCACCATGGGGATAAACAGGCATCAAACATGTTGTTATGGAATCCAGTAGAACCAGGTTGGAATAAACAAGATGATATATGTGGTCGGAATGACCCTGATACATGGAATACCTGCATATTTTATTCTTCAGTATAATGGAACAGAAGGCATGTTTGTAACAGATATATTAAAGATGAGAAAGAGGCATGAACAAGGAACAAGGCATTAACATGCAAAATGTCACCACCTACCATTTGTTACAGGTGCCATTTGTTACAGACGCCATTTGTTACAGACGCCAAACACCATCCACAAAAAAGTTGGAGACTACATGTATCTGGGGGTGACATTATAAAGTAGAGGCATGGAGGGATATTCTAAATTATAAAGAAGTGTGAAAATACCAAAACTTTGTCAAATTTTTCAGAGAAAATTGAATGGTAGAGAATATGTTTCTTTTTAGTAAGGTGGAAATAAAGTTACAGAAAATATATATTTTGTGATAGCAATAAGTAGAGCGAGATTGAAATGTATTTAGTACATAAATAAGTCATGTAAGGAATACAGTAAAAGATCTATGAGTTGATAATTTATAAGAACCTTTTGCGAGGGTTTAGGTTTCTATTACATGATGTTCGTCTCGTTAGCAGGTAAATCAAAACACACCTGTACCTGGTGAAACTGAGATGATTGCGCAGACTAATAACAAATTAAAAACTTCACGAAAAAATGACATTCAAATTACCTTCAAATATCAAAAACAGGAAAACTGCAAAAACATGTCAATCAGTAGAACAAACCATGAGAGTTCAAGCAAAACATGACGAATTCTATGAATGCCAATAATAGTGTTATTAGTAAAATGTCCATTGATTAAATCGATAACTCGTACAGTTCAAGGAAACAACAATCACTTAGTGAGCCAAAAACCACAGAGCTCCATGTAGCATTGGAAAAATGGAAGTTTCACCTTCAAATCACCTTACAAAATTCAATCACATTCCAATGAGATTCGAAAGATGTGGACAGTTTCAGATTTTGACAAATTTTGACATTTTTAGTTGGAATTTGCATCTACAGTTCACAATTTCCCAAAGACCATATATTTCCCTCACCTTCTACAGTTGGTAGAGGATTCTTCTCTGCCGTTTCAGCATGCTTCAACTGGCCCTGGTCAAACTTCTGGACCTCTCCCTGAACAGCGGCAAACTGGGGGTCAGCCATTTCTGAAAACATACAAATTAATCAATTTAATTTTGAGCTGCGAGATTATAGGGATCCCTGACTGTCACATGTGACAATTTTTTCTGCATTTACGAGATGAATGCCCCACTTTACAATTTGCAAATGTGCTATATTGATAACATTCACTTTCTATCTGTTCATTTACAACTTACTACTTTACTATCTATATGCTTTATAGTCTTTCATTGTAATACATTAACCATATGTTCAAAGTAAACTAAGAAAATTACTTTATTCAACTGATTCAACAATCAAGAATTGAATTGAAAAAGCAGAAAATCAATTCATTATTTTGTCAATTACAGTATTATTGAACAGACTTTTCTCAAGTTTTCTGTAATAAAATCATTCCAGCCTACAAGCTAAATATGTTGGTTTACAGAGAATACCCTTGCTAAATATGTTGGTTTACAGAGAATACCCTTGCTAAATATGTTGGTTTACAGAGAAAACCCTTGCTAAATATGTTGGTTTACAGAGAATACCCTTGCTAAATATGTTGGTTTACAGAGAATACCCTTGCTAAATATGTTGGTTTACAGAGAATACCCTTGCTAAATATGTTGGTTTACAGAGAATACCCTTGCTAAATATGTTGGTTTACAGAGAATACCCTTGCTAAATATGTTGGTTTACAGAGAATACCCTTGCTAAATATGTTGGTTTACAGAGAATACCCTTGCTAAATATGTTGGTTTACAGAGAATACCCTTGCTAAATATGTTGGTTTACAGAGAATACCCTTGCTAAAAAGATCCTATTCTTGTCTATATTTCCCTGTAAATTCTCCCTAAAACATTAAATAAAATATTGAATTTTCAAAAATTTCTATGCAACTTTATATATGAATACTACACACGACAAGTTCAATTCTTGCTGGTTCTACATTTTGTGAATAGAATATGGCCATCCTGGCATTTTACTTGGAGCGTAATCACTTCCCATTATGTTCTATCAAAATTCCAACTGCCACTGAGATATGAAAACAACATGTTTTTGTGTGGAACATCCTGATTGATCCATCAACATGTTGAATTACAGTATACAAATACCTCCCCCCTATCTTAAACATCCCCCAAAACAAGAGGAGAGGGGAGGTCACGAGGCTTCGCTCCGATTTCATCCTAACCACCTCAGGCTCATAGTCAGGGGTAACTCCTCCCCTTGGACAAAAATCATTTCAAAGTCATGCAGTTTTTCACCATTCTAAGCACTTTTTACATGATTTTGGCCATTTTTGGACCAAAGTTGTCAAAAGTGAACTCCCTGGAATTTTTCAAAAAGTGAACCCCCTTTGCGAATCCTGGCTATGGGCCTGCATTGCACCTCTAATTTATCTATTAGGTCAAGATGAACCATTCTAAAAGTCTTTGTCAAAATGCCATTGTTTTTTTTCAGGCAAAACCATTCAACTAAGGCATAGATCCCCTCCTTTTCTTTAAAGTCCCCGTCTAAAGTTTGAAAATATTTTTTTATCATTCATTTACTATTTGTCAGGACTTATAAAGTGATTTTAGAGATTTTTGAACAAAAAATTTTTTTTGAAAAAAAAGTTTCCCGCCATTTTTCAAAAAAAGTCGAAATTTCTTAATCATCAAATATTTCTTAATGCATTTCAAAAAAGATTATCTTTTTAACACCAATGCAAAGATTGAACAAAAGACACACAATTTCAATAAAAAAATGTCATATTTAATGGGCCACTTCAATGTTTTAGCTTATCAAAAATATTTTGAAACATTAGTGATGTCACTAAGGTAACAAAAACTTTTTGAAAAAAAATTGAATTTTTTTTTCGATGTCAATCTTTTCTAAATATGCTGGACTTTCATAAAAAGACAATGTTGATTGTTGAAAAAAATTTTGAAATGCATTTTTCTCAGAACCATTTTCATGCACTGATAAGTTCATTTCTCGCTTGTTTATCAACCGATTTTCTTAATTTTTTTGGCAAAAAACATGGAAGGATGACCAAACTCAAAAGTTAATGAATTAAATAATTAATGCCCAAACTTATTCACTGGTGGCAAATGGTGAGCCCACACGGCCTAATGTGACAGGATAGCTACTATATCAAGGTAATACTAGCCTCAGTTACAGTGCTGAATTCTGAACAATTTAATTTATTTATATGTGATTTTATTGCTACTAAATCTTAGTAAACAACTTTCTTGTCATATATTGTTCAGGTCACTTTGCACACTATGTTTGCACTATTAATTTTAAAGTTCTCATTGTAGGCCTATCAGATGAAGGGTAGTTGGAGACATAGTCCCATGTTTTAAAGTAATACAAGTCTGTACTACCATGGGCTCTTATATAAAGCTTAGACCTAGCCTGGTAAAGTGTCTCGTATTTGGCTTGCTTGAAATATGTAACATTTCCAAGCTCTGAACTGGCTTTTGATTACAAGACCCATTAGAACCCGTAATTTCCGGCAATTTTGCCTCAAAAATGAGCCCAGTACAAGCAGAATGCTCCTTAGTGCCCGTAATGACTCATAATTTTTGAGCCTCATTCAAGCTTGTACGGGGTCTGATATAAAAACTGCAATAAAAACTGCTCACACTGATGAATTGCAGCAAATTATTCCAAAGCATACATAACTAATTGACCAATCATTTGAAATTATATCTAAAATGCATAATATCCTGCAGACATAGACGTATATTATAATAGCAATTACATCTTGTAAACTTACCCTACTTTAATACCAGTAATATGAATCACTTTCAATATTAAACGAATGTTATTAAATGTTCCAAACGTTGCAACTTCCTGATTTCTGTAAATCAAAGTCTCTAATATTTGCTTTTTAACTCAAGATCAGTTTTTAAGTCCTATGCCAATTTTTCCGCCAGTGTTCAGAGCTTAGAGGATAAGATCAGGTCACCCACTCAAATACTTTTAACTCTCACTGGCAACAGACTTCTAAAACAAATACATGTTTACTGTCTGAATGGACCGGCTTGGCAAAGTTTAGAAGTTGTATCAAAAACACATTTGTGTATGTAGACTTAATGCATGTATAGCATAAGCAATTTACAATTCTCTTTAAGTTTGTATTCATGTTGCACAGAATTTTACTTAATAGTGCTACGGCCAAGGCGATTTGTGTCCAAAACACCTAGATTCAATTTGACTTTAGATTCTTGTAGGGGACCCCAAGGCATGTAAAAAAAAGTTTGTGAACCCTTGCAAAGCAGGCTCAAAAGTGCTGAGTCAGCAAATTTTATCATTTTCGAGTCGGAGTTTGACCATATGCTTGAAACTATTTAATATCTCATTTCAGGGTGTTGCAATTGTAATGAAACATTGTTAGTATATCAATAAGGCATGTATGAAGAATTCCTGAAAGTTTGGGTCTTATCCAACAAAATTTGGTAGAGATATGGGATAATTTGTCCCTAAAAGTACATAATTTCTTCTCAAAATTTCTTAATCAGTCGATAGTTAATCAGTCGTTTAAAAAACAGTAAGGGCCTATGGTGTATAAAACCTGATTTAAAACTTCACTGATGATGTTAGCAAAATATTTCTGGAATTAGTTTCAATAAAAAGTACAAGTATTTATTTTTTCTGATTTTTCTCTTTACCTTCCCCTAAAATTGCAAGAAAGGGGGCGTGGCACATAACACTTCAGTTGTTGAACTTGTTGCTAGGGTCAAATAGAAAATGTGTATCATTATAGCAAAAAGTGTTTTTCTAAATAGATCTTAACACTATATGTGACATCATAATATGCTAAACATATTCATTATCTACCATTTTATATTTTTTACAGCTTATCATTGCCATACCCCATAAAACCGTTTAGGGTATGTGTGGTCAGCAATAGGTAATACATGTATCTGTACTTAAAACATTTTTCAAAATTGTATTTCAGATGCCATTCTATCCTAATGTTGTTCATGTAGTTATGGTATGTTAAGAATGAATTATGATGATAATATGTTATATTACACTCCCCATCATAAGTTTTGTTACTGTAAATCCCCCTTTGAATCACTTATCAAAGCTTGTCATGCTGTCTGGCAATTTTAAACAAGACATCAAGCTTTTGGAATAAAGCAATAAAGAACAAAATCAAGGTTCAAACACTGACAGACCTTAATATGTAATCATATGAAAACTTGCAGTTGCCAACCTTATAGAGGGGTGTATAAATATTATATGTGTCATAAATTGTTTAGTTGTAGAAACCTGAAGCCAAAGGAAATAATAGTGCCTTACATTCTCTCAAAGAGAGTGATCAATTCCGTGGCACTGGGTTTGTTGACATTACTTATATGATATGTGACATTACGCGAGTTTGGTCCTAAGGCCAACATATTCCAATGGTGCAGAATCCCACTCGCCCCATCAAGTCCCACTATGCCATATCGAGTCCCACATTGTCCCAAGAGACCTTGTTAACTTTGCCCCATGGAGTCTCATCGAGTCCCTCCATATCCCATCGAGTCTCACGGAAATGATGTAATTTAGTTTAAAAGGTTTTGTCAAGGTCATTTTGATCCCAAGTTAGCTGGCACATCCCATGATCAAAAGTCCCACGATGCCCAATGGAAAGAATGAATAGGTTCATTCTCAGTGGGACTTCGCCAAATGATACCCAATCGAATCTTATGGGACTCAATGGGGCTTCATGGGGTAAATCCCAAGGAATCCGAAGGAGTTCCATCGGGCAAAGCTCAATGAAGTCCAACAGATTTCCATGAGGTCTCACCCAATGTTAAATCAATGGAGGTCCCACCATGCCGTATTGGTGTATGTTAGGCTTTAGCGAAGTAACTTCCTTTGTTTACATTCATCAAATCGTTAAAAAGGAAAAGTTGTCAAAACTTTGTAAGAGCGTGATTATTTGGACCGATTTCACTTGTCTGCTAAAGCTATTTTAGTTTTACATGAACTGAGCGGGCCAGTGCCATTCATATTATCTTCAAATAAACTTTTTCTCCTGCATTCAATTCATGACCACATG